GAGTCAAACTCCCCTTATCTTAAGGTTTCTTTATATTAATCTGTCGCAAACCGTAAAGTAAGTCCTGATAATTCAAGAACCCATAATTAATGTGCTTACCTCTGTGCAATTAATGATCAGGGATCCCACTCGTGAAGCTTTAGAGAAAACCTGAAAGAATCAGGATTATGTTTCTTTTTCAAAAGGGTTTATTACAAAATAAAAAAAATACAAAAATGAGTAAATATAAAAACAACCGCTATCCCCCAAGGAGGAATTGGTTCAAAATGATTAAATAAAAGAGTTGGTTTAAACCAGCTCCTGTCTTCTGAGAATCTCCCCAAAACTCGTCAAAACTTTTCTGCTTCTCTCCAAAAAACTGCCTGTCATCCCCCATCCAGCAGGACGGGGGATGACCCCTCCCCATCTGCTCTGTCTCTCTGTCCTCTGCCCCAGCTCTGTCGAATCTCTCCGAATCTCCCTAGCTCTCGCAGAGCTGCACTTTATATAGAGCTCCGGGAGTTGACGTCACTTCTCCCGGCATGCAACAGTTCAAATCGAAACGGCGCCATATTGGCATGCAGAAGCCGGCAGCTGGACTATTTGTTATTATCAGAAAACTCAATCAGACAGGAAATATGGTAGATTCCTGTTGTGCCCCAGGATGCAGAACAGACGCGGACGACATAAGGAATGAGCCATCTACAGGATTCCCCAAGATCCGGAGCGCCGCAAACGTTGGATCATTATAATAAAACGCGCTAGTGACCAGGCGAAAATGAAGCTGTGGGATCCCGAGAGTAAAGGTTTTCGCTTATGCAGCGACCGCTTCATATCAGGTACTTAAACCAACGTTTCCTCAACTGTGTATGGTATTTATTTTAAATGCTTTTATTATGATTCTTAGTGGGCTTCCTAAACTTATTTTGGCGTGGCTTTTTCTGTCTTATTACTCATAGCAGCAAGTAAACATCACGTAAAACGTTGCCTCGTGAGTTCTGCGTGCTGCCGTTTACGTGTTTTATGATCACAGCAATTAACCGGCTAAGCTGTATTTAATTTTTAAGCAATGGTTGATCAATTGTCAGATCACACATAAAAAGCACTTTGGATTGCTATATTATCTGTGTCACAGTGACTACTTACGTGTAAATCTGTTATTTGTCCGTCCATCCATCCATTTTCATCCGCGTATCCGGAGTCGGGTTGCGGGGGCAGTAGCGTGACTTCCCTCTCCCCAGCCGCCGGAGCCAGCTCCTCCGGGTAAATCCCAAGGGGTTCCCCGGTCATTTACGGTGTTGTGCCGGTAAGAAGTCTGCTCCGACAGCTTCTGGCGTTTTTAAAAAGTATCCCAGGGGCACGGTAAGGGTCGGAGATGTTTAGTCTATTTAATTTCTGACTATATAAAACGATTTATTTTGGTTTTAAAGTGTGAAGTAAACTCCGACGAAGTAAAATCCAAGCGGATCCCGTTCATGTTCATGGTTACATCCGTGTTTGTTTACCTTTTTTGCATGCCAAAATGGCGTCCACTAACTGAGAGTCACGTGGGGTCTGGAGCTCTATACCCTCCCTGGGCCAGCTTAGACAAGGTAAAAAGTCACATATATCATTACTTCATGACGGTGAGGTCATGGGGTCATTTACCAGACACACACTTTGTAACTCAACACAAGACATTTGGTATCATGCAGCATTCTTCTTAACACAGGTCATTACATCATCTTTTGCAGCAAATTGTAGATCTTCCTTCAGCATTCCTGAGATGGCTCCTGGATCCGATGGGCTTGTCTTCACTCTGTTCTCCTCCAATCCCATCTTTCCTAAGCCAGGGGTGGGGCCAGAGGTTGGGTCAGTCTCCTGACCTTTCGCCCAGTTCTGTCCTCTTGTCCCTGTGACCCTTGTGTGACCCTTGTTTCTGACCACAGTTTTTTGACCTGCAGCCCAGCTCCTGTCTTCTGGCTGATTTTGCTCGCACAAGCCAGTTCAGTGTGGCTCACCTTTTGACTCCGTACTTGCCACTGTCTTTGGCATGTGGGGACTGGCAACACAGGTACAAACCAAATCTACAGTGTTACGAATCTTTTTGTCTCGATTCTAGCGTCAGTGGGAGGAACTTGGGTGGAACCAATGACAGCACAAGTCTTAGCTACCAATCACGTTTCTCGAATTCCTGTCCAATCATTGGGAGAGGAGGGCAGGGTTCTGTCAGAGCTGTAGAGAGTTACGGCACTCCTTGAACTCGCCGACTCGCGGTCACGTGGTTCACGGAGCTCCCAAACATCACAGCGCTGTAAGTCAGTTTGAACGGTGTATGGTGGGACTAATCACAAAAATTTAATATAATCACATTTCCCCTGGCGATTTGTGGTAATTATTGAATAATATTATATATTATATTATGTATTATGTCCTAACTCCTCCACAAAGTAGCCTATTTATATTTTTCCGAGCATTTGTAGGAAGACAAACACCCGTGACTGTTCTACATTACAGGAACAAGACAGTCCTAACACACTGTAGAACACATTTTGACCACATACATTACTATAATATATTATAGCAATAAATTTGATGTAGTAATGCAACATACTGCTCTAATATAAGCATATTTAATAACTTTAAGTCCTACAAGAAGCCCTGAACTCGAGTTGTAACATCCATTTTAAAGTGTTTATTGAAAGCTAGAATTCTGCTCCAGCTTACCTTGAAGAAAATATCTGAGGATTTCTACAGTATATCTGTCTGAAATCTGGCACACAGGTACAGTAGGTGTCCCAGAGTAGGGATGTGGTGAACGTTGGACATCAACTAGAGCCCTGCACTGAAGCCCTAGGCCCTCGGGCCAGCCCGGGCCGGGCTTCGGGCCAACGACTGTGTAATTACCTCGGACACGGGCCGGGCCGGGCGCCTTTATTTTTAATCGAATTCATTTAAAAAATTGAAACACAAACGCAGCAGTAGAGCCCTGCGGGACTGTTTTCTTCATCCCGCTCGTGCCCGCTCCCGCTGAATTTCTGACCATTACCGCCTGCAACCGCAACGTGTGTGTTACACTCCCGCCCGCACCGGCAAAACTCAGAGAAATTATTACCTCACAATAAAAGAAATGTATCGAGTTTGCGTCCTCTCTGGTCCTGGAGAAAACATGTCACAACCCGCGGCTCTTCCATCCATCTGATGCGGCTCTCTGTGCTTGTAAAATAATGAATGGATATTTAAATAAAATGCTTTATATTTTACTGAATTAATTTTATATCTGTAAGTCAATTCTATGTAAAGACTGTCTGCGTAAACCTGAACAGGTCCAACCCGGTCTTACTGTGAGACCGGGTTGACGCGTCACGCTTGTGCGTAATCATATCGGCGCTTTCTGAGCTGAAGATGTCAGATTCTGGGCTTCTCCTCAGACGGCTCATGAATGCGTTGCCAAATTGGAGACAGGAACAAGCACTATTCAGCCAAAGTTTCATAATCAGGGAACATTTTCTAAGTGACAAGTCTCTCTGAGAGACGGGGTTTGGAAAACCCTCGCTTCAGTGGGAGGAACCTTCCCGCATGCGTTCTGGTTCTGCGATGTGCTCCAAGCCAATCTCCACAACTTCAGCTCGTTGTGCACATATGCGCTGACAGCAAGCTGCGCTGAGCAGCTCAGATGTTCAGATGGGAATCTTTTAGCTACATCTGCAATGTGCGTAATGAATAAAATGTCAGTTCGTCTGCATGCGTCGGGGTAATTCTTTCTATTCTTCCTCCGTCAAAATAAACCGTCAAATACGGGAACTGTCCGGTCAACACAAGCCCTGCTTTAGACTGTTTTGTGTTCTTGTGAAAATTGTTGGAAAGAGATAAAATTTAACTTGATTACCACCAGAGCCAGTGTGCCGTCATCTCCGTGATGGTAAATGAGGGAAAAACAAATTGATCGGATCCTGCAGGTCTTTTAACACATTGGTCAGGATTGATGCACTTTGTTTTCATTTAGTTGGTTAAAAAAAGTCGGGCTCGGGTCGGGCCAGAGAATCCTGAAAACCTTTTCGGGCCGGGTCGGGCTGGGGCTCCACCCCCTCAGGCCGGGCCGGACACGGGCTCAGATTTTAGGCCCGTGCAGGGCTCTAACATCAACTATTAAGGATGATTTTGTATGAATTTTTGAAAATGACATAATTGTATTGACTGTATTGCATTAAATACAAGTTTGCTTTAATATCTGAGGATTTCTACAGTAAATCTGTCTGAAATCTGGCACACAGGTACAATAGGTGTCCCAGAGTAGGGATGTGGTGAAAGTTGGACATCAACTATTAAGGATGATTTTTAATTAATTTGTGAAATTGACATAATTGTATTGACTGTATTCCATTAATTACAAGTTTGCTATAATATCTGAGGATTTCTACAGTAAATCTGTAGGGATGTGGTGAAAGTTGGACATCAGCTATTAAGGATGATTTTTTATGAATTTTTTAAAATGACATAATTGTATTGACTGTATTGCATTAATTACAAGTTTGCTTTAATATCTGAGGATTTCTACAGTAAATCTGTAGGGATGTGGTGAAAGTTGGACATCAGCTATTAAGGATGATTTTTTATGAATTTTTTAAAATGACATTATTGTATTGACTGTATTGCATTAATTACAAGTTTGCTTTAATATCTGAGGATTTCTACAGTACATCTGTCTGAAATCTGGCACACAGGTACAGTAGGTGTCCCAGAGGAAGGATGTGTTGAAAGTTGGACATCAACTACTCTTGATGATTTTTAATGAATTTTTTTAAAAATGTGGTACCGTAAAGACTGGTGTAGAAGCGCAAGGAAATTTATGTGGCGGATAAGATGTGGCTGGGTTGACCGCGGCTCACAAATGACGGCTCACTTGACCATTGAGAGAGGGGCAGGAGTCAAATAGTTGTCTCCGCCCACCTCTAAATGTTTGACCCCACCCACATTTAGCCCTGCCCTGATCTCCGGGAGGCAATCAGGGGTAGTGTCCCGCTCTGGCCCGCTACTGGCCCGGTCGGGGTAGGGTTCCTGGACTGGTTCAACAATCGAAACAAAATATTTAGCGACCCGATCCTTCTCATTCCATGCCAGTTTGGTTGGTGGAAAAGGCCCATAAGCTAACCCTAACCTGGGGGAGGGACCTCCTTCTCGTCCACCAACAGGTCAACAGGAAGCTTTTGATGGTGCTGAAGGATTTGCAACTGCAGCACGTCTGAACTAAAATCAGGTTTAAAATGAGTCAGATGACGGCTGATGAACCGGCTGCTGGTGACGAAGCAGGTGGAGCAGATGCCCGTGTTTCCATTCACATCTGAACAATGAGACAGGTTTTATTCCAGCACTGAGCGGCTGCTCGTCGCTGCACACAAAGAGAGAGGGAGAGAACGTGCTGAGTTCATGCGGAGGGGGGGCTGCGCCTCCTGCTGCGTCTCCGTTAGACGCGTGGACGAGTCGACGTGCACGTCCTTGTGAAAATAGAAAAGCCAGGAGAAGAAGGAACATACAGAGAGGTAAAACCATTTCCTTCTTCTTCATTTGCATCTGGAGCATCTTCATCACACAGCCCTCTCTCCCCCTCCTCCTCCTCCACCTCCTCTCCATCGCTGAAGCCATGGCCACTCATCACAAAGACGGAACAGAAAGGAGACCTTGAATATCGGAGGCTTACACTTTTGGAGGAGGGAGGAAAAGGAGGCTCCATCTTTTGACATTTCGGTACGCTTCTTCTTTTTGTGTCATCTTCCGCTTTCGTACCAACATCCTTCTTCTTCACCCGTCTCTCCTCCATCACCTTCTCCACCACCCATCTCCATCGTTCTCCAGCTGTTTGCAGCTGCAGTCGTCCTGGTTCTGGTCCCAGGTCCGTGTGAAATGGAGGGAACTTTCTCTCTGGTTTATTTGGACCTACGCAGGCTGTCAGCTGCTCTGTCCGAGTCTTTGACCCTGTTATTTGTTGTTGTGAAGCTCTGCAGCGAGTCCTGATTCTGTAATGTGATTGGATGATTTATCAGGTAAGTTTCTGGTTAGGGTTCCATAGCTGTGTATGTGGAGACAACAGGGATCTGGTGAAGCAGAACCCTCACAGCTGGTTTAGACCTGATGATGTCAGGAGGAAACATCTTCATGATGTTCAGCTGACAGTCTAACTATCATTTGAAGTGTCAAAAATATTTAATAACAATTTTATTTGACTTCTAATTGTCTATGGGACATGTGGGTGGTTACCATGGTGACCCTCAGGAGCAACTGGTGTTTACCGTGGTGACCTTGATGAGCCACGGATGTTACCATGGAAACCCTAATGAGACATTGAAGCTGTTTCTCAATATGCGTACTCATCTGACCTTGTGTACCGACGTCCTCGTGAAACGCCATCAACGATGGCCCAAGTACGCATCACAGCAAATTCACTCAAAGTTTTGGGATTTGTTCTTGCTCCACCCATGGTATCCAGGATGCATCGATGCATCCAACAGCAAAATATCCCATAATGCATTGCCTCACAAGCTGTTGTACTCCAAACACCAGAGCAGAAACCCTATAACTGTAGTTTCTTACAACAGAAACATATAAAACAATCCAAGTTGTCTGTTACTGTGTGTAAGCCGTAAAATTTGCTGTGCGTAACTTATTTTCACACTTCACAATCCCTCAAATAGCTAATTAGCTAAAACCCTATCAAAATAAAAGCAGCACTGCTCTTTTTTGAGGAAAAAGAATCTTTTTTTCTTCATTTAACAGGAAATGCTGGATGCTTGATGAAAATAGACCAATCATTATATAAATATGCATTCATTGTTATTTAAGGGACAAAGTGACCTTTAATTGTTGTGTCAGGTCATTTTGTAACCATAGCAACAGGCAGCGCTTGTTGCCAGGACAGAGCGGAGTGCGTCCTCATTCTCCCGTCCTCAGTAGAACGGACTTTCTGGTTTCCCTGCCAAGAACACACGTGTCTGGTACTGAGAAACGGCCTGATGCTGCTGTTACCATGGCGAGCCACGTCAAACTGAAAAACCTTTCCTTACATTCCTCGTGGACCATCTTTAGGGCCTTTACCTGCTCCTGTGTTGCTCAGGTCACTTGTTTGCTGATGATTCAGTCTACTATGTGAAACTCAGGAGTTTCCACACGACTTTGACAGATTACAGTGTTGGTTTGCTCAGAATAAACTTTTCATGCTTTTCCAGAGAAATGTTTCAGATCAGGCTCAACAGGCCAGCTGGATTCTGGGTTTTGTTGTGCTGATGAATTTCTTCTGCTTCTTTGTCCATCCCTCCATTTCCGCCCCTGCCTTGGCGAAAGGGTTGGAGCCTTGTTTAGATCTTTAGCAGGAATCCTGCAGGAAAAATTGAGCATGCTTGGTGGAGCCTCAGCCTGGAAGCATCACTAAGTTAGCTGATAGTTTATATTTGTAATAAAGTTGAAGACCAGTGGATCTTAGTGAGAGAGTGTGTGTGTGTGTGTGCGTGTGTGTGTGTGTGTGTGTGTGTGTGTGTGTATGTGTTCTCCTCTTGTCTCTGTAGGTCATGGCCTCTGAGGGGTTGTTTGTTTGAACTATCTTCAGTTTGAAGACCAGCAGCAGATTGAGGCGGAGCCACAGCGAAGTTACGAGCAGGTACAACTACACGACTCCAACCTGCAGTCTGACTGGATCACTGATGAGAATGCAGTTCTCCGAGTCAGCTGATTGGTCCTTTTAGTTCAGGGGTGGGGAACCCTGGTCCATCGAGGGCCACTATCCAGCATATTTTAGTTTCAACCCTGCATCATCACACCTGATTTCAATCAGCAGGTGATTAACAAGCTTCTGCAGAGCTTGATGAGCAGAGACATGCAGGATACCGGCCCTCGAGGGCCAGGGTTCCCCATTCCTGTTTTAATTGAACACCTGAGAAAAAAACCTCCCATTTAACAGTTTTCCGACTGGATTATCGTCTCTGTGGCGTGAATTTGGGGCCAGCTCGGCCGTCACCATTCAGTGTTTGTTGCCTTTAGAAAAACACACCTGCACATGTTTGTTGTTGACTCCAAGTAGAAAGACCAAATTCTTCAGAGTGGAGCAGCTGCCGTAACCAAACCCCGCACCTTGAGACACGTGGGCGTTGTTGGGACCAACAGCACCGACGACACAAGTAGGGAGCTACATAGAGGGCGGTGCCAAGGACTTATGACCTTGGTGATCTTATAGGAAATAACAATGACCTCATCAGAAACGCCTATTGTCCTGCCTGTACTGTACATCTCCTTTAAGCCCCATGAGATGTCTAAGCTGCAGCTGTTACACACCTGCTTAGACTCTATCAAAACCTGGATGGCTGGGAGCTTTCTACAGCTGGATGAAGATAAGACTGAGATCCTCATCTGTGCCCCAGACAAGCTGGTTCCCAAAGTCAGAGACTCTCTTGGTCAGCTTGCTTCTCACACCAAACCTTTCGTCAGGAATCTTGGCGTGACCTTTGACCCAGCTCTCACCCTGGATTCTCATGTCAGTTCTCTTGTTGCCTCCTCCTTTCACTGGTTGTGCAGTACCAGGCTATAGGTCAAAGGTGACAGATTATCTGCTGCTGTGGCCCCCAGGCTCTGGATCTCTCTCCCCCGGGTTTGGTGGGACCTTCCTCAGCTCCCTCTCCTGGTTCTGCTCTTATTCCACCTTTCCCGGGATCCACTGGTTGCTTCTTCATATTTCACTTTCTCTTTCCTCACATATTTTTAATCGCAATTTTTTATTTTTCTCATTTTTATGATACTTTTAATTCTCTGTCATGTTAATTCCTGTGACACTATATAAAAGATTGTTTTCTTTCTTTCTTCTGTCAGTATGTTGATTTCAGACCATGCCCCATAAGTTTCCTACTTCCAACCCGAGTTTCAGAACTGAAGAAGCTTCTAGGATAAGCGATGAGACGTCTTCAGAAAAACCAGATTCGTCCAGTTGTTTCCAACTAAACATTCAGCACACTCTAAACATTTTCCTTTTTCTTCCAGATGGAGATTAATGTGGCAGAAAAACGCCATCGAACCCGGTCCAAAGGAGTCCGAGGTAATAAGTCTTCTCATGACGAGGTTAGGTTTCGTAGTTAATAAAGCTTTAGATGGTCATGCTGGTCTCCAGAACCCTGCTCCTGGTGGTTCTTTGGTCAGATCCAGTAAACAGCTGGTGGTAATGACCAGCTCAGTAGCATAGTGGTGAGTGTCCGTTCTGAGACTGGGAGATCCATTAATTCCACAGTCGGGTCGTACCAAAGACTTTAAAAATGGGACACTCAGCTTTAAGGGGTTCGATTGGGGGGTTGTACCATCAAATGGTTCCCGAGTGCTGCTGTCTGGGTTAGGGCCATTCTGCCTGAGACGCTTGTGCCGGAACCGGAAACATCTTTGGTTGTCCGTCACTTCAAATGGTGTTTTTCTTTTTGGGTAATTTGTTCTGAAGCTGAAGTGGTAGCAGCTGCCTGTTTCTCCCTCTCACACCAGTGGTGTTCTGTTGCTAAATACGTGAGTGTATAATAAGGAGGCTCCAATCAGATCAAGTGATTGGAAACCGGGCCCGATCACGTAATTTTAAAAGGATTGTGAGAAAAAGATTAAATTGAACCTTTCAAAACAACAAACATGACTTTTTAAAGTCAGAAAGAGATGTTCAAATGGAACAATACTGGCTTAGTTTTCATTCAAGAAATTCCTTTACATCAATATGATTTGTTTCTTGTTGAAAACAACACAGTAACATCACCTCATTAACGGCAGGCAGGGATTCAGACACCAAAATGCAGCTGTTAGCTAGCAAGCTAGCGCAGAGCTAACGTGTCTGCAGCGTGGTGTACTTTAATCCGGACTGAGAAGACAGAGCTACAGACTCTTGTAATGTGTGCACACTGGACCTTCAGCCTGCTGGAAAGGACACACAGCTCCATGATTCAGACCACTGTCACTGTCAGCTTTTCCCTTTGGGAATCACCAGTCTCCATTAATTCCCAGTTTGCCACTAACAATCCCAGTTCACAGAAAACTCAGACAGGTAGGCGGAGCCAGACGACAGAGAAACATAACCTAATAGAAAAAGATTAATTGCCAACGAAGTGCAAAACATCAGGTAACGTTTCCTGCAGCACCTAAGCTGAGCGGTGTGATACTAAGAAAAGTTAGCCTAGCAGCCGAGACGCATATCCTCTAAATCTAACGACTCAGAATTGGATCAGGAGCAAAACAAGGCGATCAGAACATCCCTAAGACCAAAAGTAACTATAGAGCTCCGAACGTCACGTGACTCTCAGAGAGTAGACGCCATGTTGGCAGGCAACAAATGTAAACAAAATGAACGGGATCGGCTTGGATTTTACTTCTGAGTTTACTTCACACTTTAAAACCAAAATAAATCGTTTTATATAGTCAGAAATTAAATAGACTAAACATCTCCGACCCTTACCGTGCCCCTGGGATACTTTTTAAAAATGCCAGAAGCTGTCGGAGCAGACTTTTTACCAGACCTGGCCGGGGAATGCCTTGGGATTCCCCCGGAGGAGCTGGCCCAAGTGGCTGGGGAGAGGGAAGCCTGGGCCTCTCAACGCTACTGCCCGCGTAACCCGACTCCGAATAAGCGGATGAAAATGGATGGATGGACAAATAACAGATTTACATGTAAGTAGTTTAAATAGAGTGCTGTGCTGTTTGAATGTATAAACTGAACGCCAAGAGATTTTTTTTTCCGTGAATAAAATAAATATGTCAGGCAGGAGTGTCTCAGGATCTGTCTGAGATCTGTCTCGGTGAGACAGATAATAGCAATCCAAAGTGATTTTTATGTGTGATCTGACAATTGATCAACCATTGCTTAAGAATTAAATACAACTTAGCTGGTAAATTGCTGTGATCATAAGACACGTAAACAGCAGCACGCAGAAATCACGAGGCAACGTTATACGTGACGTTTACTTGTTGCTATGAGTAATAAGACAGAAAAAGCCACGCCAAAATAAGTTTAGGAAGCCCACTAAGAATCGTAATGAAAACATTTAAAATAAATACCATACACAGTTGAGGAAACGTGGGTTTAAGTACCTGATATGAAGTGGTCGCTGCATAAGCGAAAACCTTTACTCTCGGGATCCCACAGCTTCATTTTAGCCCGGTCACTAGCGCGTTTTATTACAATGATCCAACATTTGCGGTGCTCCGGATCTTGGGGAATCCTGTAGATGGCTCATTCCTTATGTCGTCCGCGTCTGTTCTGCATCCTGGGGCACAACAGGAATCTACCATATTTCCCGTTTGATTGAGTTTTCTGACAATAACAAATAGTCCAGCTGCGGGCTTCTGCCTGCCAATATGGCGCCGTTTCGATTTGAACTGTTGCATGCCAGGAGTTGTGACGTCAACTCCCGGAGCTCTATTGGACCATCCCGTTGTTGGTCAGACTGAACCGCCTCCACACCAGCGATGTTCCGATCACAGATATTTGCTCCCGGTCCAATTCTGAGAGAGTTGATTTAGAGTACCTGCTGATACCGAGTCCTGATCTGATACTTTTCCGGAAAGCATTAAAATGAGAAGAAAACATCCAAGTTGTCCTTCAGGTTTCACTTTCACCTGTTTGGGAAGTACACTGATTAAAAAACGTGTTTCCAGGGTTGCCAACTCTCACGCACTGAGCGTGAGACACACATCTGACCCTCTTCACGCTCTCATGCCACACCTCCAATCTCACGCTAAACCAGCGCTTGCGCTCCCCAAACGCGCATCAGTGTGTAGGGCTTTTGAAAAACCAGATGGTATTAATGATAGCATTAGCTACTGAACAACATGCACACGTTAATGTTTTCATTCACCACTTCACCATTGTGTGTTTTCCTGTTTGTGAGACAAACCCCTCCTCCATAACCAGGTTACTGGTATGGAAGCCTGGAAAGGCCAGAATTCCTCAAACGTTTTTCCCTACTGGCTGATATGAGTTACAGTAATATAATAGAATAGAGTAGATGTTATTAGTCCCACAGTGGGGACATCCACTCATCACAGCAGTGCACACACTTAGAGACACAGATTACAGTAAAACTGATGCCAGCCATGTTTGCTTTGATAACTTCAGTAACTACATGCTGATGACCCACATGAACATAATCCTGTTTGGTGGATGCAACTACATCATGAACTTAGCTTAACTGCTAATATTATGAATGACATGATATTGCCCCCCCCCCCCCCCCCCCCCCCCCCCGATGTAATTAAAACATTTACATGAATTACAATTAAAAGTGCCTGTAACTCTTTACGACAGACAGGCAGACAGACAGACAGACGAATAGATAGATGGATAGATGGATAGATAGATAGATAGATAAATAGATAGATAGATAGATAGATAGATAGATAGATAGATAGATAGATAGATAGATAGATAGATAGATAGATAGATAGATAGATAGATAGATAGATAGATAGATAGATAGATAGATAGATAGATAGATAGATAGATAGATAGATAGATAGATACCCATGTAAAGTTAGAGGTACAGAAGAGGATTACAGCCACTGGGAAAAAAAAGAAGTAAGAATTCTCTTTCTTTTCTCTTTTCTTGTCAGTGGCTCTAATCCACAACAGTACAGAGTAGGAATAAATAAATTACATGTAGAGCACAAAAGTCTCAATATTAATCCCCCCCCCCCCATCTCACACTGTGAAATGTTCAAAAGTTGGCAGCCCTGTATAAATACGTTTAACAGTAGCAGCACTGCTCTTATTTCAAGTTGTTTACTTCCTCAATATGTAGCTGTGAGCCGTGCATGCTCCTTGACGGAGTAGGCACACTTTTTAGGCATCGAGTTGTGGAGCTGCGTCCTTTCCAGCATGCTGAATGCCCAGTATGCACACTACAGGAGTCTAGCTCTGCCTTCTGTCTGGTTTAAAATACCACCAAGCTGCAGACATGCTAGCTCTGTGTTAGCCTGCATGCTAACAGCTGCAGCTTGGTGTCTGAGCCCTGCCTGCTGTAAACTGGGTGATGTTACTGTGTTGTTTTTGTATAAGAAACAAAAATATAGATGTAGCTTGTTGAAGAAATGAAAACTAAGCCATTTTTATTCCTTTTGAAAATCTTTATCTCAGGATGAATTTAGAAAGTCATGTTTGTTGTTTTAAAAGGTTATATTTCTTTTTTTTCTCTTGATCCGGATCCTTTTAATCACGAGATCAGATCTGACTCGCCATAACATTTATAGCTATATTATGCTAAAACGTTGTCGAGAGGCATGAATTCTTATTTTAAGCTCATTTGTTTTCCATATTTTACTTTAAATTTAATAGAACAGCTGCAGCAGGAATCTGATTGAAGTTACTACTTAATCTTTAACTTTGAATTGTAACGGAGCTTCATTCTCTGACACGACCCTGTTTGTGTTTTCCTACAGCTGCAGTGGAAGCTCTAACTCAGGAGTTCTTCAGGTAGGTGAGCCATCATCACCATCTTCACCATCATAATCACCATCACCATCATCATCATCATCATCATCATCATCATCACCATCATCACCATCATCATCACCGTCATCACGGCCACCATCATCATCACCATTATGGCCATCATCATCACCACCATCATCACCATCATCACCTTCGTCATCACCATCATCACCATTATCTGTCATTGAAGAACAAATTTGAATATTTTAAAGCTTCTCTTTCTCAGAGTTGCAGATGTTTGATTTTTTTTGGGTGTGTTTCCATCTCAGCTGTCCCACTCCTGGATGTGATGGCAGTGGCCATGTCAGCGGGAAGTATGCAAGACACCGCAGGTAGGAGCTGTTCCTGTCAGCACAACATGATGCAAACATCTCGTTGTAACTATAGCAACCATAAAGCGTTTGGTGCCCAGACTAATCAGAACACTCTAAAGAATGCAGCTGCAGTGATCAGAGGATCTCTAAAAAGGATCATGACGTATGTCTGAGTCAGTCTCAGTAGAATCCCAGGTCATTTCAGGACATTTTTAAATTGCAATATTCTTGCAAGTTTTGAGGAGAAACAGGTTGGCCAACATGTCCGACTGTCCAGCTTGTTTTCACATTTGCCATTCCTGACCTCGAATTAGTAACTAACGGCCCTCTTCCAGGAATTACAAGGATTTAGTAAAAGTGATAATCTTACTTGTAATCTGATAAAATAGGCCATGCATACATTTTTGTTTTTGATAAGCTTCCCAAACCTGTAGAGCCCCATGCAGTTTTATGTTAGCTCCACTCAGCATTAGCCAGGATCAGCTAAACTCAGATCAATAAATGTTATTGCTTTTGTTGTGTTAGTTAATCATCATTAACTGTTGATTAACTAACTAAACACACATCAGTAGTTAACCAAACTCAGATCAGTAACTAGCTGATCTCAGATTGAGATCGTAAACTAGCCAAACTCAGATTGTTAACTAAACTCAGATCAGCTCAGTTACTAACTGAACTCAAATCATTAACTAGCTAAACTCAGTTAAGTAACTACCTAAACTCGGATCAGTAACTGATCTGGGATCAATATCTGCATTGTGATCAGTATTTGTGAGTTTGGGAGGGGACGCTTTCCACTTCTCTTTGTTCCTCCCTCCTCTTCTGTCTGGAGGATGTGACCATGGCAACAGCATCGTGTGGAATCTGCAGAGAAGACCAGGAGGGCTGCTGCCTGTCTCCATGGCAACCACCAGTATAGGATGTGAACATTGTGTCGCCCAAATCCTCCCTCCCCCATGGTCTCCTATGCCTTTGGTTCTAAGGAGTCGCCATGGCAGCGGGAGTCTGCAATAGGCGCTGCTGGAGCTATGCTCTGTCTCAAGCACACGTTTGAATGTGAATAAAGGGTTTCTGAGGTCACACAAGTCCAACAATTATCTGTGAATTTAAAACTAATTTAAAGAAAAATTAAGAGTTAATTTCAGGAAATTACCTCCTATTAACCAAGTGTAGAGTTCATTACTTACTGTAGGTAACCATAGCAACACAAGTCAGGTTCTGAAACAGCCATCTCGAATATGTTTCTGTGTTCTGAGGGTTTACAAAGTGAAGCTCTGATGATGTTTCAGATGCTCCACTTCTCTTCTCCAACCCTTTCTGCTTATTTTCTTTATAAAATCTCTGAGATTCTGGCTAATTTGTATCAGACGCACATTTTTGTTTCTTTCATTCCATCAGACTAAAAGGGCTTTAGAGTTTAACTCTGCTGTGACTCATGTTGATAGAGATCCAACTAAAACGAGTGTTCCCTCTGTCCCGTCTCAGTGTTTATGGCTGTCCTCTGGCTAAGAAGAGGAAGATTCTGGGAAAACAACCACTGGAGCCGCCCACCAAGAGAAGGCCCTTCATCTCCTCCTGCCTGACTAAGGAGGAGGAGGATACAGGAGGCTACACCAGGTACCAGGACCAACCCATGCCGGTGGGGCAGGAAGTTAAGGAACAGGGAGAGGTAGCGGAGGAAGACGACGAAGAAGACGGGGAAGTGGAGGATGACTTGTTTGAAGATAATGAAGAACAAGGACATGGGGAAGAGGATGAGGATGAGAGAGGAAATCCAACAAGAGGAGTTAAACAGGCAGAGGAGTTAGAGGAGGAGGAGGAGGAGGGTTATGATGAAGAGGAGCAGGAAGAACAAAATCTTCATCAAGGTGAGTTACATCAATGATCCACACTCCCACACAGAAATGGGTCATTTGCATGTTTAAGAGTGAAACTGTTTTTTTCTGCTGTGGGTTGGTTAAAGCTAGGTCTGAAGGATGAAACTGTCTTCTGAACTCGGGTCCATAAGGAACCAAACCGGTTCTACTTTGTGTGCAGATTCCTTTTCTCATCCTTCTGTTTTAAACTGTGTACCGGTCACCGGTTTCTGATGAGTTTCCGAAAGAAATACAGCCTTTTCAGCTCCGTCAGGCTGGATGTGTGTGTTTGAATGGATCTTTGTTGTCTGTCAGAACTACATTGGGTCAAATGGATGTCCTGTTTGTGTCCAACAACAATATGAACCACCAGCAGGAACAAATGTTCCACAGTAGATTCAGCCTAGTTTGGTTCCATGAAGGAGATCATTTCTGACTCTCAGATGAACACTGGTTCTAGTGATGCTGAGACATGGTCCATCTCGTTGTTCCAGATGCAGCGTACCAAGAGGCCAGGTATTTTATCAGAATGACCAAAAGTTTACTTCACACATCTGGTGCCACATCCTAACTGTCTGGTCTCCAAACCAGAAAAGCCCTGCTCTACGACCTTCTTACCAAATAAGGAAGTCATAACGAGTCTTTCTCCGAGCTCCCGTATCTTAGCTGCTGGAGACTTTTACTCTCTGAATAAAGCTTATCTTTCTTGACATAAATGACTTTAAAACTTCATATAATCATATTCTGTTGAATGAACAACATGTTTAAATCCAAACTGTTTAATAATGTGTGCATTAATCAATGATGGGTTAAAATGAATAGTTTTCCCTTAATGATTAATTTCAGCTCTTAAACTACATCAGATTAGGATTTCAGAAACTATACCAGATTAGGATTTGTTGATTTAATGTTAATCTACCTCCTATTATTATTATTATTAATGTTAAAACATCTCCACTTCACACTGAGAGTTAACCTCTAAATATCCCTGACATCCATTTTACGCACTAATACCGGTATCGCAGCTAGAACATTTTCTAGCTTACCATTCACCTCGAGTAACGTCCCAGTCTGAGAAGTCTTCACACGGACGGTGCTTTCCGTGGGTCCAGGTCGCCCTCCAATCACTCCCGTCTTCCCAAATTTCCAGACAACCAGATATCCTCCCACTCCAATCAGGAGAAATCCAGTGATCATCAGGCCAAATATCCACGCGTCTTCAATGTCCTCAGTGGACAGCTGGGAGAGGCATATGATCTTCCACTCCTTCCAGGAATCCAACATATATCCCACCGGGTGTGTCCCCTGTGGACATGTGGGAGCCCCCTGCTCCGTTCTCATTGTTGAAAAAAATCGTATTGATCGCATTGAATGACTAGTTTATCAAATCCATGGTTAGTAAAAAAAAAAATAGAGTTTTTCTGAAGAAATGCAGAGAAGCGCTCTGTGGGCAGACAGGACACATAGCCTTGGGAAAACAAGATAAGGGAGCGAAAGAGAGAAGCGTCTGTACTCCTCGAGTGCCTGAATGCAAAATGTTATTTGGTCACATGTGTTCTATAAACCATGTTACAACTATATAGGCCTTACAGAGAAATGGGATTTGTTTCAGAGTTTTATTTTGTCACATTTCCTATAAGCACACTGAAAATCTACAGCTAATAACCTTTACTTATAGTCACGTCTTCGTATGCAGCCACTCCATCTGCTCTCGTCTCTTTTCCAGGCGAGGTGCTGCTCATCTCGAACACGGCCATTCACATACCGGAACGCCGTCATTTAAAAATATTTGGTCACGCTACGTCCTCAGCACATGAGGGGACTCCCTGCGTTCTACCAGGAAGAAACAAAACTTTGCTGTGAGATTGAGACACTTTCTGCTGGCTGAAGTGCAAAAGAATCAGACGTTAGAGTTTATGAACGTGGTCGGGACAGAGGAGAGGTTCCTAACAGCAATAAATAACTTTAATATGATAAATCGTAGAGTAGCGGGTTGTTATCTTCATTTTACATTTAAGGAGTCGTCCTGAATGGAGTTAGTTTTATTTAGAAATGTTGTCAGACAGTGCAGCCTCTTCTGAGCTGTAATTCAGTCTGGAAACCTTGGCAATGCGGCGAGTATGGTCAGGGAGAAGAGGAGGTGCACAATAAGGCTTCAAGTGTGTGGTACACATCAACATATAAAGTATGGCCGTAGTCCGCCCATCGCTCCGCCGGGGGAACGTTAAAGCCAAAAATGGGAGGTTCCCACCACAGTTTTTTTTTTTACCGAGTCACGCCCAGACACTCCAAAAATGGGAAAAGAGATGGAGCTGAGGATGGGGCTGTTATGTTTGCAACAGGGTTGGAACAAATGAAACCAATATAGCTACTAGCTAACTTAGCTAACCCAAGAAGCTAAGAAAAGCTCCGGGGACCACAAAGTAGACCACCCGCACAACCGACCGGCTTCAGTGCGAGTCTGTAGTCATGCTGGTCGCCTGTGGAGATCTGATATGGACTGGGACAGTTAAATTACAAGCAGAGCCAGACCGCTGTGACCGGGAACCCTGGCCTTAAAGATCAGCTCATTCTCCATGGGCAGAGATCAGCGGGACATTAGCTACATGCTAACCCAAAGCTAACAGAGTTTTTCCAGGCATTTTTAGCATGAAAAACGTGGCAGTGGTCGTGTCACGCTCCCAACCAGAGACAAGAATGGTGGACCCACGGATCTTTCACCGCTGTGGACTAGCAAAGCCCGATCCTCAGTCAGATACCCAGCAGCCACACCAACACATTACATTTCAACACATCTCAGACCAATCAGTGTTATGGTAAACACATAGAAGTTTCCCCATTCAACCAGCAAACTATTAGCAAGAAAACTGCGGTTGAGCAAATCAAAAGTGAAGCAGCATCAAGTAAAAAAGCTGCGGTGTTTCTGTGATCTCTCTCAGAAATCCACAAATGACCAGCATGACTACAGCCTAGTATTGGAGCCGGTCTGTGTGTCGGCTGCCCCAGGAAATGGGAACAGCCAGCTGCCTACTGTAGCAACCGGTCTTGGGCAGGAGACAGAAGACGGGCACCCGCTCAACTTTCTTATCCAGCAGCAGCCCCACTAACATGTCTGACCAAGCAGTTAAACCACACAGCATTTCCCACCCTTCAACCAGCAAAATAAAGTACAGAAATATAATTTTACTTACCGATAAACTGCTTTGATGATCTGTTAGTGCAGTCAGTAACCACAGCTCGCCTTCTGTGACCATGGAACTGTTTAAGTGGAACTAAATGTTTACATTTCTGAATAATTAATGAGCATCAGAGCTGTTTAAGTAGAACTAAATGTTTACATTTCTGAATAATTAATGAGCATCAGAGCCACGTGACTTCAGCGCTTGCTCGCGTTAATAGATGTTCGGCCATTTTGACTGTGGTAGCTTTAGCTGTGTCTGTGTGTTTGGATGTTAATCATGGCATGCCAGACATTTTTTAGAGATGTTCACCAACATGTTACGCGTCAAGCTGATGGCTGCTTTGTGTTGCCAGTTAGTCGAACTAATTTTCTTCATAGGTCAGTATTGTATAGAGCAATGGTGGAATGCAACGGTTTACCACAATTCTTGAGAGGTCAGTTACAAAGGAGTGATTTTCGTAAGAGGTTGCGGATATTTATTTATACCCTTTTTACATGAGTTTGAGGAAGATGAGTTTTATGTTTTATTTATTTAATGTTTTCTTGTCCAGTGTGTGTGGAGGAATTTCTGTTTTATGTTACTGGGAAATGTATTATATTTTGTTGCTGCATTGGGTGGAATGTGGTGTATTCTTATAATGGAGATGTATATTGTATATGGAAATGGATTGTTTGCTTGTGAGCCCAGTGTTGATGCATTAATAATGGTTTTTTTTTGGTTACATCATGACCCCAGGAAGAATAGCAACTGTTTTAACAGTGGCTAATGGGGATCTTAATAAACAAACAAACAAACAAACAAACCTGTGCTCAGCAGTAGTGGCTTGGATGTTATAACCTACCTGCACTGACTCAGGTTTTTCAGTCAGGAAGTCCAGGACCCAGTGGTGCATGCTGATGGCAAGTCCCAGCTGGAGACATATGTCCACGAGTCTTTGAAGAAGAAGAAGAAGAAGAAGAAGAAGAAGAAGAAGAAGAAGAAGAAGAAGAAGAAGAAGAAGAAAATATCATTTCTATAGCGCCTCTCAAGATAAACATCACGAGGCGCTTCACAAAAACAAAAAATATAAAAATTGTAAAAATATAAAAAAGCATTTAGAAAATGTTTAAAAATATATTTAAAATGAGCAAGAATAAGCAATTGCGATTTAAAAGAAAAAGTGTTAAGAAAGAGAGAGAGTGAATAGGAAAGAGGGAAATCAGTGGATCCTGAGGAAGGTGGAATAGGTGGGGAGAGCAGAATAAAGAGAGAGTAGTGAAGAAGGTCATATAAAAGCCAGCTTGAACAAGTGAGTCTTCAGCTGCTTTTTGAAGGAGACCACTGAGTCCACTGATCTCAGGCTCAGGGGGAGAGAGTTCCAGAGTCTGGGGGCCACAGCAGCAAATGATCTGTCACCTTTGGTCTTTAGCCTGGTGCGCTGCACAACCAGTAGGCTTTGATCACTGGACCTCAGGGATCTGCTGGGGGTGTAGGGACTAAGAAGATCACCAATGTAAGATGGTGCTTGTCCATGTAAGGCCCTATAGACCAGAACCAGGATCTTGAAATGAACCCTGAAGTTGACTGGCAGCCAGTGAAGCTGGAGGAGAAGCGGGGTGATGTGGGTGTGTTTGGAGGACTTAGTCAGATGCCGAGCACAGGCATTCTGAACCACCTGTAGACGGTTCAGGGAGGTTCTGCTCAGACACGTGAAAAGAGAGTTACAGTAGTCTAAGCGTGAGGAGATGAAGGTGTGGAGAACTGTCTCAAGTTCAGAGCGGGACAGAATGGGACTCAGCTTAGCAATGTTCCTGAGATGGAAGAAGGAAGAGTGAACAAGAGAACTGACATGAGTATCCAGGGTGAGAGCTGGGTCAAAGGTCACACCAAGATTCCTGACGGAAGGTTTGGTGTGGGAAGCAAGCTGACCAAGAGAGTCTCTGACTTTGGGAACCAGCTTGTCTGGGGCACAGATGAGGATCTCAGTCTTGTCTTCATTCAGCTGAAGAAAGCTCCCAGCCATCCAGGTTTTGATAGAGTCTAAGCAGGTGTGTAACAGCTGCAGCTTAGACATCTCATGGGGCTTAAAGGAGATGTACAGTTGGATGTCATCTGCATAAAGATGGTAGGAGATTCCTTTGAAGGAGCTCAGGATGTACTGAAGAGGAAGCAGACAGAGGAAGAGCAGAGGCCCCAGCACAGAACCTTGTGGGACACCATGGGTAAGAGAGGTGGTGGAGGACCTAAACTTGGAGATGGCCACAGAAAAGGAGCACTCAGAGAGATAAGAGAACCACTCCAGAGCAGATCCTGATAGGCCTACCCAGTCTCTGAGCCTCTCCAGTAGCAGGTGATGGTCAACAGTGTCAAAGGCTGCAGTCAGGTCCAGCAGGACCAGAACAGAACAGTCCCCTGCATCACTGTGAGTCAGAAGGTCATTAGAGATCCTAAGAAGAGCTGTTTCAGTAGAATGAGCTCTACGAAAACCTGACTGGAAGCTATCATAGATGTTATGTTCATCAAGAGCAGCTGTGAGTTGTTTAGCCACAACCTTTTCCAAGATCTTGGAGATGAACGGAAGTTTAGAGATGGGTCTGAAGCTGCTATGGAGAGAGGGGTCAAGACTCAGTTTTTTAAGAAGCGGGTGGATTACAGCGTTCTTAAAGTAAGCAGGGACCTGACCAGAAACCAGAGAAGCATTAATTATAGAGAGCACGCTGGGACCGATGGACTGAAAAGCACTTTTAAACAAAGATGAGGGTAAGATGTCGAGGGGGCATGCAGAGGTCTTCATAGAGTTAACTAGTTTGGTTAACTCAGGCAAAGAAACAAGAGCAAAGCTACCTAGGATGATGGGCCTGGTTGGAGTCGGGAGAGGCAGCGATAAGGCTGAAGGAGAGATTCTAGATCTAACCTTATTGACTTTGTCCACAAAGAAAGACAGAAAGTTCTCACAGTCTGCAACAGAGTGGATGGAGGTTGTAGGAGGGGCAGGAGAGAGGATGCTGCTGATGGTGTTGAACAGCACCTTGGGGTTCCCTTTGCTCTGGGACACCAGGTTGGAGAAATAGGAAACCCTAGTGTCTCTGACTGCAGAGTTAAAGGATGTCAGAAGATCCTTTAGGTGCAGCAGATGGACGTAGAGATGGGTTTTCTTCCACAAACGCTCAATTTTTCTACATTGGCGCTTCAGGCTGCGAAGGCTGTCATTAAACCAGGAAGTAGGGTTCACTGCAGGAACTGATCTGGTTCTGACAGGACAGATGTTGTCCAGAATGGAGAGGCAGTGCTCGTTGAACTGAGAAGTTAAGGAATCTGGGTCGTTATCAGAAGAACAGGGTGGATAAAAAGCAGCAGAAAAATTGCTAGCTGTGCTCTCTTTAAAAAAACAAGAACTAACCAGACGGCGAGCAGGAGGTGGGGATGCAGAAACTGACAAGTTAAAGAAAAGGCACTGGTGATCAGAAATATAAATGTCCTCAGGACAAACACTGTCAGCATTTAGACTCAGGGTAAAAACAAGGTCTAGAGTGTGCCCCCAGGTGTGTGTGGGGCCAGAAACATGCTGGGTAAAGCTGAAGGTGTCCATGAGGCTGGAGAAATTCATGGCAAAGTGATCAGAGGGATCATCAACGTGGATGTTAAAATCACCAACAATCACCATTCTGGACAGCTTCACAGTGGAGGATAGAAAGTCACAAAACTCCTGAAGGAAAGAACTGTTTGGACCAGGTGGACGATAGACCACAGCACAGTAGAACGGGTCCTTACGCCCGACTTTAATCAGCTGCAGTTCAAAGGAAGCAAAGTGACCAGAGGTTGTAGAGCTACAAGGAAGATGGCCTCTGAAAACAACAGCTAGGCCTCCACCACGACCAGAACCCTGGGGCTGGCTAAGAAAACAATAACCACTCGGGCAAAGTTCAGTCAGAGCAGAATAATCAGATGTTTGCTGCCAAACTTCAGTCAGAAACCGAAAATCCAGGTTTTTAGACAGAATTGGATCATTGAGCAGGAAGGACTTATTGCTAACAGAGCGGGTATTTAATAGAGCCATGCTGAGTGAGGAGGAGGAATCAGAAACTACAGAAACAGCTGGAGTTAGTGGATGTAAATTAGCAGGGTTAGATCCACGGTGTTTATAAAAACCACTTTTGGAGGGAACAGGAGGAGAAATCACTGAGGAATGAGGATAAACCGACCTTAAAAAACTTGGACAGATGAAACGCGTCCCAATGTGGCCTGGCGGGAATGCGGAAGTGGCGCTCAGGTCACCAAACAAAGGACAAGAAGCTAGAAGATCGCGCCGATGTTTACCAGATAAACCACGCTTTAAGAGAAGTCTTATTGTCACCTGGATTCCTGCTCGTTTACCTCTTTTCCTCCAACGTTTTCCCGGGACCGGACAAACATCGCTAGAGGTGCGCAGCTCTGGATCGTCGATTGGTTCCGGGCTGGTACGCCGCTCAGGTAAACAAACAGGATGGTAAATCCTCGGTGCATCTTGGGCGATTGTGAACGAACGGAAGGACAAAAGAGTCTGGCGATCATAGGAGATGGTAGCGGGGACACTACTGAAGAAGATCGCAGACAGGAGCAAGGTGGAAAAGAGGAGGTTAGTGGAGAAGAGTTTTAAAAAGTGGCCGGTGACCGCGGCTAAGCCAAGCACAGGCGCCGTCTTGCCGACCGGAAGTCGGTGTCTTTTGGAACCTCTTTGGTGGGTTAAACGCATCCCTGCCTATGTGAATCCTTAATTTTCCCTGACTTTAAACCTGCATTTTTTTCTGTGTGTCCTGACAGCAAACAACCAATACCAGCCCACTGGTCTGTCAAAGCTTGTCCCCCTCCAGAAGGACAACAACAACAACAACAACAGCTGTTTTCTCAAAAACTCAAGTGGAGAAGAATGCGAGAACTACGATGAGCTGGTTGCTAAGTCGCTGCTCAATCTTGGTAAGATTGCCGAGGATGCTGCTTACCAGGCCACAACAGAGTCTGAGATGAACAGCAACTCCTCGAACAGTGCCGGCGAGGATGAGGATGATGAGGATCATGGCAGTGACGAAGAGAACATGAAAGGTGAACTGAGTGTAGACCTAGACAGTGATGTGGTCAGGGAGACGGTGGACTCATTGAAGCTCCTGGCTCAGGGTCATGGCACCATGCTTCCTGAAGATGGATACCCAGAGAGCACCACGATGGAGGACAGCAGACATACCAACGAGAAGGGCCAAGGGGTCAGGTGTCAGGTGGTGGATGGCAGAGAGGAGGTGTGTCTCAGCAGTCTGGAGTGTTTGAGGAACCAATGTTTTGATCTGGCCAGAAAACTGAGTGAGTCACAGCCATCCGACCGATCCATTCTCCATGGAGTCCACCACCAACAGCTGAAGGACAAGCAGATTTTCCAGCACCTGAGCAGGTAGATCATTTCACCTTTGTCCTCCTAACCGGGCTCCACTTGTCACATCCAGGCCTAATAAAATGCATACCAATAAAGCCTGTTCCTCTACAGAACTAGCCCAGAACAAGCAGCCACTATTCCTTAAACCACCAGAATTAAAATATTCATGAGACAAATAAATCCCTCAGTTCACAAAACCTTTCAAATCTAAATGTTCCGAGGTTCCTTGAGCAATGGAAAACCATCTTCTGGGTTATGTAGATGGCTTGGAGTCTGAACTTCAAGGTTTCAAGAAGATCTGGTATCAGCTGGTGTCAGAACATGCGGTCCACCACTCCATGTCTTTGACTGGAACATTGATTGAATTGAACAATCAAGATTCACGGCTGAACAAGATCCAGTGAACAGATTAACACTATGACCATGATCTTTTTTCTCAGATACGACACCTGCACACCTCCTGATGAGCGCAGCTACCCTGACATGGCAAACTTTATGAAAATGGAGGACCAGCACAGCCCAGCATCCCAAGGCTTTAGCTGTAGCCAGGAAGGAGATGAAGACACCACATCGGTGGTCTCTGACCGGTCCGACGACACCTTCGACATGGCCAAGGGAAACCTGTCTCTGCTGGAGAAGGCCATTGCTTTGGAGTCAGAACGGGCCAAAGTCATGAGGGACCGAATGGCCTCGGAGAACACAGTGGTCCATCGAGATCAGCCCTACCACCGCCTCCATGGTGAGCACAGCCCTAGGCTGAGCAGCACAGCCGAGGAACGCAGGTCCAGGATACAGCTGGATGGGTTAAAGCGGGCCTACTACCCTAAAGGTACTGATCCACGTGTCAGTAGTGAACAGAACTACTTAGCTGGGCTCTGATTCAGTGAGGTCTAATCAGTTTGGTTCCACTGGCATCCTGGTGTAAACACCAACCAGTCAAAACATGACAATCGCTGACAGAAATCACTGTCATCTTGTTACTATGGCAGTGGCCGGGATTTATCAGGCACATGTCAGATGATGATAAAATGTTTAGATGATGTTCGAAATCTGATCCCCTCCTTATTTTCCCATTTGTTCCCAGAATCTTCCAGAGGAGAGAAAAAGGAGAGCAAGTGCCCGACACCAGGCTGTGATGGCACCGGTCATGTGACGGGTCTGTACCCGCACCACCGTAGCCTGTCGGGATGTCCTCACAAAGACCGCGTCCCACCTGAGAGTACGTCCTGCAGCTTGTGGGCTTTTCAACAGTCTGACAAGTCATTTCATTTTGTGTCTCCGCAGCAAAAATGATTGGATCAAAATCTGATCTAACTTGTTGGATGGAGGGTGTTGCTGTCTGACAGGGCGGGGCCTCTGTCGAATGGGGTGGGGCCTCTGTCTGACTGGCAAGGGCCCTGTTTGACAGAGCCTCTGTCAGATGGGGCGGAGCCTCTGTTTGACAAGGAGGGGGCTCAGTCAGATAGGGCGTCCCTTGTCTGACAGGCCAGGGCCCTGTCGGATGGGGCGGGGCCTGAGTCAGATAGGGCAGACCTCTGACTGAGGGGGTGAGGCCTTGGTCAGGTGGGGCGGGGCATGTTGGCATGTTGCATGACTCTACACGTGTTTGTTGTGTTACAATTTTCTGAAAATGGCAGCGTAAATGACACAATATAGACAGAGCCCCCATGTTTGTGATTCCTGTAAGAACCTGATCCAGGAGAGAAGGTGTGGAGTTTCACGGCTGCTGTGAAACATGACTGTGTTTCATCAACACCTAAAGAAGTGAAATCTGTTCTTCTCATCCTCACTGCTGCCTAAACCATGCTTGTCTTTTTCACCACATGTTCCTGATGTCTGACTTTGTGTTTTCTGCTGCTCATGTGAGAATTTGTTTGACCAAATTAAAATCTCAGGCACAAGCAGCATGGGCTGAACCTGCTAAATGTGACCCAGTCCATACGGCCGATGCCTTTAGTCTGCTACTTAGTCTGCTACTTCTCCCAACCTTTTGAAGAAAAAAACAACAAAAAGGCTTTAAAAGGAGAAAGCACTTCAACTTAACATTGAATAAGTAAGTTTAAATTCAAATTCCCAAGTACAGCTACAGCAATCTGGACCAGTCTTGTCACCGCTATCAGATAAAATAAATAATCAGAGCCAAACTGCCTACCTAATCCTCGCCTCCATGTCCAAACGCCAGTGAGAACAAATGAGATTTTAGTTACGTCTTAAATCTGTCACGCAATCCGGCCTCCTTCCCAGTACTGAAAAAGCATGGCTCCCATGACATTTCAACACGTACCTGGGCACTGTTAATGGTCCCCGGTCAGCTGACCATCGGGAACACACCGGGACATAGTGGTGGATGACACCTGACAAGTATTGAGGTGTCCCCCTTAAGTGCTTTCATCATAAACAGAATTACCGTAAACCTGATACAATAAGAAACAGGAAGCTAGGACTGGTGTCATATGCTCATACTTCCTGGTGCCTGTCAACAACCGAGCTGCAGAGTTTTGGACTGCCTGGAGGCGTGCTATGGAAGGAAGCTTGCCTAAACTCCGCATAAAGTGGGTTACAGTAATCCAACCTGCAGGTGATAAAGGCATGGATTGCACTCTCCAAATGGCTACGTGACAGAAATGGCTTGATCTTCACTATACGCCTTAGCTCAGGCAGCTCCTTGTCATTGGTGGCATAAACAGAATTACTTCAGTTTTGTTTTGGTTGAATCATAAGTAGTTCTGAACCATCCATACCTTGATGTCCTCCAGGCAGTCCAACAAAGGTTGGATGGTGCATAATCCACCCTGCCAAACCTGGAAATCATCAGCATATACATGGAATGTCATGTCATGCTTGCAGATTAGGTCACCCAGGGGTAGAAGGTATAGGGAGAAAGATAGTGGGGCTAAAATCGAGCCTTGGGGGACTCCCCAAGGCAGCTCAGATGTGTTGGAGGAACAGTCTCACACAAAAACTCCTCCCCAATAAGTAAGATCTTATTCATTTCAGCGCCTGGCCTGTAATGCTCACACACTGCTCCAGTAGATTTACTAAAATATCGTGGTCATTACTATCAAGGATGATACTATATGGAACCAGTCAGAAAGGGGCAATGAGTTAAACAGGTCCAAATAAAGTCAACCTTCAGTTTTAACTCAGTCATCATCCTTCATCTATCCTGCAGAATGCAGTCATCTCCACATCCGATCACTGCATGACCAACGTCTCCATCCACCAGAGTGTTGCTGAGATCAGCAGGAAGGAAAGTCGGGTTTCTGCAGCAGAACCACGTCTCCAACTAGAACACAATAACTAACTTCCTAATATTGCTTCTGGAGCTTCGGGGTTTGGCTTTCTACCTCCAGGTAATCATGAAGCAGAAACATCAGGATAAGGTCTGTCCTTCAGAAGTTTTTCTGCATTTATTCAATTAACCAGGAGCAATGTCTAGTAGGTTCCTCTTGTCACAATCTGGTTCGCGTGGAAACTTTAATAGGGGCAGCAGTAGCTCAGGAGGTAGAGCTGGATCTCCAGTAATCAGAAGGCAGGTTCAATCCCGGCTCTGGACAGAGAAATCTGCTGTTGTGTCCTTCGGCAAGACACTTAGCCCACCTCCCTTTCTGGTGGTGGTTGGAGGGACCGGTGGCGCCTGTACTCGGCAGCCTGACCTCTGTTAGCGTGTCCAGGGCAGCTGTGGCTACATCGTAGCTCATCACCCCTGACCTCTGTTAGCGTGTCCAGGGCAGCTGTGGCTACATCGTAGCTCATCACCATCAGTGTGGGAATGTGTGTGAATGCATGAATCATGCACTGTAATGTAAAGCGCTTTGGAGTCCTCTGACTCTAAAGGCGCCATACAAGTGCGGGTCATTCATCATTTAATAGTTCAGAAGAGGGCTGCTCTATTAACCGAATTTTAATCACAATTACGATTTGAGTTCAGAACGATTCTAAAAAAAAACAAGACGATTATTTGCTTCTCCCTCTTGTGCTGCTCCAAGTGACAAATCAAGCACTCCTCTCACAGTGTCGCAAACTTGGCGACTTTGTCGCTGTTTCTAACAGCTTTTCAGGACCCGTCTAGACTTTAAAATCCTAAAAGTACCTAGAAAACAACCTAGAACATCCTGATAACCCTTAGCTGCTATCTGGATAGCCGTCGTCCACATTTCCTGCAGGATAGCAAAACACTCTGCCTGCGCTCCGGACCATCCTTCCGGACATTAGGAAAAGGAATGAGGTTGTGTCGCGAAAGAAAGAACTCTCAGAGCCATCTCCCTCTTGGATTAGCCGGAGCGAGGGACACACGTACAGTACCTACTGGCTACTTTGGCACGCTAAACAAACTCGCAGCTGATCGCTGTGAGACCGGGTTGGGGGATGGGGGGTTGCAGTACACCTCCGATCGCTGCCAGGGACGATTTTTACATCAACTGATGGAAGCCGTACCTAAAAAGTTTAGAAATAAATTAGAAATGGGAATGAGTTCCTCATGCTGGTAAACAATAACTCATGTCTCTGAGCGACATGCTGCTACTGCAGCCTCAGCACCGCTGGACAGGATTAAATAATGGTGATGAGCTTCACTAAAACACACGTTTATACGTTTTAATGTCTTTTATATTATTAATGCACAATATCATTCTTGCTGGCAGTACTTGGTATTTGGGTCTGTATTACACTTAAACGAGTTAAACCTCAGCCCTTTGGGTCATGGTGTGCTGGCCTTTTTATTCTAGGAATCAGGAGTTGTTTTGTGATCCTTTTGTTTATTTTTCTTATTTATTTTGTCCTGAATGTACCCTGTGCAATTTTATGGCCAAATAAAAAAATTAATAAACAAATAAATAAAAAGATAAATTTAAAATCGTCTTAAATCATCGAGATCTCCATTTCAGTCTAAATAATTATGATTATCATTTTTTTCCATGATGGAGCAGCCCAGTTCAGCATTTACCCAGAATCCTTAGCTTTCAAATGAGACCTCTCAGAGCCGTCGGGAGCCTCCGTGTTGCATCCACAGACGGGTCCAATTTAGGGTAACGCTCTCAGACTTGGACCGGGACTGATTCAGACTAGGGTCAGGCTGGGACAGTTGGAAGTGACTTGTGTCTCGTTTGTCTCTGTGTCCCTTTGATGATTGAGGGCCTTGTTCAGGGTGTCCCCACCTGCCACCGGTGACCCCCCCATGACCCTTACAGGATGAGTGCGTACAGATGATGGGTTATAAGAGGGTTCAAAGTAGGTCTGGATGACAAATCAATTTAATGAATTCATTCAAATTTTTTGTTGCGGGCATTTAAAAAAAAAGTAAATTGAATTTTTATGTAATAGTGCTTTTTTGGCCTCCCAGAGCTTCCGTAGCGTTAGTTTCACATAACCGCGACAACGTCACAGCATGCACATGAAACAGCAACAGCAGCGACTCCATGGCCACCGGAGAGAGTGGGAAGCTTGTCCCTAAGAAGGGGATGAAATCCTCCGTTGTTTGGAGCTGGTTTGGGTCTGCTGCGACAGACGCGGAGCGTGGCGCTTTTATCCAAGAGGGCGTTCATTTGTTCATTATTCACCTCAGAAATGAGGGTCACATGTGTCCTGCTTGTGATTAAATAAAAAACACAATCGGCTTTAAGGAGCCTTCCATTTCTACTTATTGTTGTTCTTAAATAATTGAGGGGAGAGAGAATCAGAACAAAATCATAAATCGAATAAAAAAAAATCAAATCGTGATTTTATTTTAGGTCGTATCGCCCAGCCCTAGTTCAAAGGTCCAGGAGTGTTCTTTCTGGCAGACCAGACCCAAACATTTAGTTTCACTGGAAATTCAGAGATTTTGTCTCAGCAAACAGGGTTTAGTTCAGAAATCATGTCCATGTTGTTCTTGAGGAAAGCTCCTCCCACGTTTTGGACCATCAGCTGGTCTCTGGTTCTGAAGGACCTGCAGGGTTCTGATGGACATTGAAATACGAAACCGTTTTCCTTCCTGCTGCGGACACTCGAGCTGCCATCTCTGGCTTGGTGTTAGTTCTGTGCTCTGCTGTGATCTGAGCATGCCCAACAGGTGACCGCTCATTGACTCTCCGTGTGCTCCTAACCCTCGCTGTCTTTCTCACCTTTTCCTGTCTGTTAAAGTCCTTGCCATGTATGAAAATGTGTTAAAGTGTCCGACTCCTGGCTGCTCTGGACGGGGTCATGTCAATAGCAACAGGAACTCGCACCGCAGGTGAGTCAGTCAGTCATCCCTGACACTTGTGATACCTGTAATCTGTGAAGGATCTAAATGATCGCTGCAGTCTTCACACAAATCAGACCAACTAGTCTCTCCTGACAGCTCCAAACCAGGAACAGCTGGGATGTTTGTAGCCCCGCCCCCATCAGTGGCACCGCCCACCATCCCTGATGGATGTTCAAGCTTCTAATGTTTAAAAGCTAAATGCTTAGGTTTAAATAACCTGGTCCTGACTAAATCTACAAACATGCTTTGATTTGAAATCCGACCGAGCGGCCGGTTTGGAATAAGAAGAAAACTTTAATGGAGCGAAACTCGGCAGAACTGGAGTCGGATTCGTCAAACGGATCAGTTTCATATGAACATTCACACGATGAAGCAGGCTTTATGCTGATGTGGTCGGTATCACTGCCGTCTTGCCATGAGGAGGTTGCAGGTTCAAATCCCATGACCAGCCTTTACTGTGTGGAGTATGAATGTTCTTCCCATGTGAGTGTGGGTCTTCTGAGTTCTCTTGTTCCCTCTAGAGACCACAAACATGCATGCCAGGTAAACTGGAGCCCCTGGGTGTGTCCAGGTGTAGCCCTGCGTCTCACCTGGTGACTGATGCCCTAAGGTTCTCATCATAGGAGCAAATATAAATCATGTATAAACAAACTTTTCTAAGTGAGGATGTTTTTGTGGTCCTCACTCTTTGAAAAAGCTTCCCAGTTGGTTTTAGAGGTCTGGTGTGAATTATGTTTTAGCTATGTTAGGGTTAGGGATAATAGGGTCACAAGAATGAATGGAAGTCCATGGATGGTCCTCATTAAGACAGAAGGACAGAAGTGTGCAGACGTGGTTCTTTACTTTGCAGTGTGTGTTTTTAGAAGACAATAAACTGGATGGTGTGTTTCTGTACCCATGTGTTTTAGAGTGTAACTGTGCCCCTCATTGTCTCTTCTTCATCAGTCTGTCCGGATGTCCAATCGCTGCAGCAGAGAAGATGGCGAAGGTCCATGAAAAGAGTCATTCAGTCGACAGCAGCAGCAAGACCAATCAGACGTCGGACCGTGTCCTCAGGTACCGCCACCTCTCAGCTGACTGGAAACAGTTACGACTTTTATAAAACTGAACATTCAGAATGATGTCATTCCTATGTCATGGTTTCCTTTAGAACCTGAGCTCATGTTGTCAGAACCTGAATCCACCTCCTTTGACCTGGATTGGTTGTGAAAGTGGGAAGCAAACATGGAGAGTGGGGTAGAACCTGGTGGAGATCTAGGTCAGATAAGACGGTCTATCATGCAGAGATGAATAAGGTCTAGAGTCTAAACGGGAATGGATTTCCTGTGGAAAAGTTAAGGATGGATGGATGAAGAAATCCAAAAGGGTTCAGATGAAGGCAACTGGACTTCTTTGGTTTCTTGAAGACATTTCTCTTCTCATCTGAGGAGCTTTGTCCATTCTAACTGGAACATGGGAGAGTCAAGCTTATAAGCTGTAGCTGTCTGTTGTTGTTTAACGAGCAGAAACTACTCTGAGTACCCCTCCTCTCTTCCTCCTGATGAGTCGCTGGCCTCTACTGAGAGGGAGTGGTCGTGTTGGTTAGACACAGGAAGGTGTGACCTAGACTGAAGCTGCTTAGGAATGAGATTCAAAGCTGCATTATAGATACTGGAAAGGTGAAATCTAAGCCCCGCCCCTATTTAAAGTGGGTTTTCCACGTTTGACATAGATAGCTTCTTTTACTCCTCTCTCACACCATCTGTCTTCTCTGTCCAGAATGTGTCCTTGTCCTTCAGATGTAGGTGGTGTTAGGTAATTTTGTCAATCCAGGTTTACCTGAGAGAAAGTTTAATGCACAGGGGGTTATAGTAATCAATCAATCAATACTAATACCAATCATAAACAATCAATTTAGACTTCGCAAAGTGGAGAGGAGAAACAGTACACACCAAGCATGAATTCAGTTTGCTCTCTCATCGGACCGGAAGTCCTCCGACAGCATTTATTGAAAAGACAGGATGAAGAAGGCGGGGCCTTCTTGAGGTACAGAGTTACAAACGCACACACGCATCACATTCCAAAACTACTCCGCTAAGGCGGAAAGTTGTTTAACCTAGGGAGTGAAAAACAAGGTCACATTTCCTTCATACAAACCCAGGTGCATTCATTCAACAGACAGTTTCCCATGGGAGTGTTACTGATAAAACCAACTCGCTTGGTCTGCCAGAAACAGCTCGAAGGTCACTTCCTCCCTGTAAAGGCTACAGGATGACAAGGTTACAGGATGAATCCTGCGTTTATTTGTTCTTAAGGAGCACCAGATGTTTTAACAGTCAAGAAATTAAGCTATAATATCAATATTTACCTAACAGGTGGACTGCAGAGTCCTGACCTGAAGAGGTGGCTCTCCTGTGTTGTGCGATGCTCTTGTGTAATTGTTGTTTAGTTTCCCCGATGTAAACATCTGGACAGACCTCGCTACACTGGACTGCATAAACGACGCCACTGAGCTTCAGTTGGGGTGTTTCATCTTCAGGATGGACCAGGTTCTGTCTGAGGGTGTTGTTGGGTTAAAGTTTACTGGGATGTTGTGTTTGGAGAAGATTCTTCTAGGTTTCTCTGAGGCTCCTGCCACGTATGGGATGATGGTGCCTTTGCACCTGCTGTCCTTTGCTGGTTGATGCTTTGGATGCTTTTCCAGACTTCTTTGAAGATTTCACCAAGGCCCGATTAGGGTATCTGCAGTTCAGGAGAGCTTTCTTCATGTGTCTTCCTTCAGTCTTTGTGGGAACGTTCTCGGCCTGATGGTGTAAAGTCCTGATGACCGACATCTTGTGCCCCAGTGGCTGATGTGAGTCCAAATGCAGATACTGGTCTGTGAGAGTTGGTTTCCTGTGGACTTCAATGCTGAGACTTCCATCCTGTTCAGTTAGCACAGCACAGTCCAAGAAGGGCCGTTGGTGGTTGTGGACATCCTCCCTGGTGAACTTGGTGTTCTTGTCCACGGCATTAATGTGCTCGGTAAAGTCTTCTACTTCCTTTGTGAGAAGTTTGACCCATGAGTCGTCCACATACCTGAACCAGTGGCTCAGTGTTGTTCCATGGTAGGAGTTCAATGCTCTGGTTTCCACTTCCTCATGTAGATGTTGGTGATGATAGGTGACACTGGGGAGCCCATGGTGCATCCATGTTTCTGCCGGTAAAACCTGTCTTTGCGTTTGAAGAAGGTGGTAGAAAGGCAGAGGTCCAGGAGGGCACAGATCTTGTCTGGGGTCAGTTTTGCCCTCTCGTTTAAGGAACCATCTTGTTCCAGCTTTTTCCTAACTGCTTCCACTGCTTCGTCTGTGGGTAAACACGTGAAGAGTGAAGTGACATCAGATGAGACGATGGTTTCTCCTGGGGCCAGTTGGAGATCTTGGACTTTCTACATGTGAATTCTGTACGTGATGTTGGGTCTTTCCAACCAGCGGAGCCAGGATGGTGGAGAGATGTTTTACAGTGTTGTATGTGACCGAGTTGATGCTGCTGCTGATGGGTCTGAGTGTGTCCTTCCTTGTGAATCTTCAGAAGACCATGTCTACATGGGGTGGCTTCTCCTGGATAGAGTCTGCAGTAAAATGTTTGATCGATGACTTTGTCCTTTAGCAGTTTCTGTAGATGGTCCGTGATTTTCTTCTTGTGTCCGCTTGTCGGGTCCCTCTTTAGAGCTTCATACGTGGTGCTGTCGCTCAAAGTGAGGTGACTTGGTTGTGGTAATCTGTTGCATTCAGAATAACCGTACAACAACCCTTGTCTGCAGGTACAATTGAGATGTTCTGGTCTTTGCTGAGGGAGGAGATGGCTTTGTAGACAGCTACAGTTTATAAACTTGACTCTCCCATATTCTACTGTAGTTAGAATGGACAAAGCTCCTAGGACGAGAAGCAAAACATCTTCAAGAAACCAAAGAATTCCAGTTGCCTTCATTTGAACCCTTTGGATTACCATGACCTGGATGACTGAGAACCTTCACAAGCAGTGATGAAGGAAAACTTCTGAACTAAAGTTTGATGGTTCCTCCATATAAACCAGATGGTCCCATTGATCTTCTGCACCCAGGCGTGGTTGAGAAGGTTTTTCTGTTGCTGAGTACTTCCTGTTTTATTCTGTTCTGGTTCGTTTTTAGGCCGATGTGTTTTGTCAAGCAGCTGGAGATTCCTCAGTATGGCTTCAAAAACAACGTTCCCACCAGCACACCACGATCCAATCTGACAAAGGAGTTGGAAAAATACTCAAAGACCAGCTACGACTTTGCTGGCTATGATGGTCAACATGGAGGCTTTGGGAAGAAAGGCCTAACCTCCAAACCCCAGCAGGGGCGAGACCTCTCTCCAAAAGCATACGAAGGTGAGAAACCTGAACGCACAACAAACTTCTGATTGGACGTCCACTTCCCTTTGGCCTGTGCTCAAACACAGATATTTGGCACCTTCCCTTGGGAAGGGAAGGGAAAGGGCTTGTGATGAGGAGGGATTCATTTATCATGGCAGATTTGGGTTTTTGTGGATTTAGTTTATTTTTGATGAGTGTCATCTATGATTCACCGCTGCAGGTAAACGTTACTGTAAGACATTGAGCCCGGCCAGCAGCACCACCAGCAGCTACGCTCCGAGCAGCAGCAGCAGCATGAGCTGTGAACGAGGAGAGGCAGCAGAGGGAGGCGGGGGAGGAAGCAGCGCCAGCAGCACCTGCAGTAAGAGCAGCTTTGACTACACCCACGACATGGAAGCTGCCCACATGGCAGCGACAGCCATCCTCAACCTGTCAACAAGGTGTCGAGAGCTCCCTCATGCTCTGGGAGGGAAACCCAATGACCTGCTGGCTCAGGTAACAAACACCTGTTCCCTTACATCACTTCTTGTAGGAAGCGTCCTCCACCAGCTCCCAAGTTAAAAAGCTTAATTTTTAATGGTTAGAGCAGGTGTTTGGGTTGGGGGCAGTCAGTATTTAAAACATCCATCCATCCATCCATCCATCCATCTTCGGCCTCTTATCTGGGGTCGGGTCGCGGGGGCAGTAGTCTAAGCAGGGAGGCCCAGATTTCCCTCTCCCCAGCCACTTGGACTAGCTTCTTCGGGGGAATCCCAAAGCATTCCCTGACCAGCCATGAGACTCAGGGTGTTTCTCAATGTCAAGGAACATTGCCTTGATGTCTTGGCCCCGCCCCGGTTGCCTAGGAGATACGTCATCTGGAGCCGCCAAGACGTGTTCCAATCGGTTCCAATGTTCATGTTCTACAGAGGTGTGTGTTCTCCGTTTGTTAGCCGTTTAGCTAGCTGAGCGAGGACACACGGGAGGTGTCTTGTAGCCTAGCCTTGGCCAAAAATTACCCACAATACATAGCAGTATTTTCAAAAGGACACCTTGCGGAGAAAACTCATTTCGGCCGCTTGTATCAGCAAACTCATTCTTTCGGTCACTACCCAAAGCTCGTGACCATAGGTGAGGGTAGGAACGTAGATCGACCGGTAAATCGAGAGCTTCACCTTCTGACTCAGCTCTCTCTTTACCACGACAGATCGGTACAACGCCCGCATCACTGCAGAAGCAGCACCAATCCGCCTGTCGATCTCAGGCTCCATCTTTCCCTCACTCATGAACAAGACCCCAAGATACTTAAACTCCACTTGGGGCAGGACCTCATCCCTGACCTGGAGAAGGCATTCTACCCTTTTCTGACTCAAGACCATGGTCTCCGATTTAGAGGAGCTCATTCTTATCCCAGCTGCTTCACACTCGGCTGTGAACCGCTCCATTGAGAGCTGGAGATCACGTTGTGATGAAGCCAACAGTACATCATCTGCAAAAAGCGGCGACTCAATCCTTACGCCACCAAAACAGATCCCCTCAACAACATGGCTGTGCCTAAAAATCATGTCCATAAAAGATATGAATAGAATCTGTAACAACGAGCAGCCTTAGCGGAATCCAACTCTCACCAAAAAAGAGCTCGACTTACTGCCGGCAATGCAGACCAAGCTCTGACACCGGTCATACAGGGACCTAACAGCCCGTATCAGAGGGCCTGGTACCCCACACTCCTGAAGTACACCCCAGAGGGGCCCCCGAGGGACAAGGTCAAACGCCTTCTCCAAATCCACAAAACACATGTAGACTGATTGGGCGAACTCCCATGCACCCTCCAGAACCCTCTTAAGGGTATAGAACTGGTCCAGTGTTCCACGTCCAGGATGTAAACCACATTGCTCCTCCTGAATCTGAGGTTCAACAATCCACCGGATTCTCCACTCCTCTCCAGAACCCCAGAATAGACTTTACCAGAGAGGCTCAGAAGTGTGATCCCCCTGTAGTTGGAACACACCCTGCGGATCCCCTTTTTAAATAGGAGGACCACCACCCCGGTCTGCCAATCTAGTGGAACTGCCCTTGATATCCACGCGATATTGCAGAGCCGTGTCAGACAACACATAATAAGTGGAGTAGAGGTAGACAGAATTATTGCTGATTGCCAGGTGTTCAAATACTTCATGTGAAGCAGTGTAACACAAAGGTCACCAGCTTGTGTACAGACCTTCTGCACCTGTTCCATCAGAGTCCAGAAGGTGATCTGGATTGTGGTGTGGTGGATGAGGCAAGTCAACCTATTGGTCCAGAGGGCAGCGGGACGGTTTTGACCCCTCTGCAGCCGATGTCGCCCCAACGGCAGGCTCTGCTGAGCAGTGGCTGCTACCAGCTGAATGACACAGACTGCTGGGACCTGCCACTCGACTACACCAAGATGAAACACCTGGGAGACGAGCTGGACCACAAAGAGGTGAGTCTAACTGCCAGAATTCTACCAAGCTACCAGAACAGGGGCATCCCTGTCCATCTTCTAGGAATTTTAGAAGTCCCGGCTCTTCAGAGACCATCCACTTATCCTGAAAACTACCATGCACTCCACGTCCCCAGCTCTGCTGCACTTCCCCATACAAAGTGAGGACAGTGGCTTCTGAATGGAGTAAGAGCTGAACCTTCGTCTATCTGGGTGATTCTAGTGTTGCGTATGAGTGCAACGGTTCCGAACCAGCACTGATCTTAGATCTGCTTTTTCAGATGGTAGCTGTTTATTTCAGGGAGGATAAACTGGTCTAAATCACAGAGAAAAAACACTTTATGGGGATCCAGAGAGGTTCTGCTGATCTTTGACCTTCTAAGCTGCATAACATTTACTTGTTCTGGTTGTTTGATTCATCATCCCTGCAGCAGAGAGACCAGATGAATCCATTCCAGGAGCTGCTGGACGAGGAGCATTTCCAGACTGAGGTGATGATCCCGAGTCCCAGACATCTTAAATACCCCCCTTGTAAGGACGGAAAGAAGGAGCTGATCACGTAAGGCTCTGCACACAGATATTGGTGTTCCTCTCGCTGGTCCAACAGAACCAGAACTCCTGCTGACCACGGGGACAAATGCTGCTCTTTAGGTCACAGGACTAGAAACTGTTCCAGCTTTGGTCATTCTGACTTTATATTCTGCAGTTTGTCAAGCTGCCAGCTGGCCGATAAGAACATCAGAGGAGTCCTAACGACCCCCTCTCCAGAACTCAAGTGAGCTTCCAAAACACTCCCGGATAATTGTACTACTACTACTTCTACTAACAATAATAATATTAATAATAATAACTTCTACTATTACTACTACTACTACTACTTCTAATAATAATAATAATAAAATTAATAAAAATAATAACTTCTACTATTACTACTATTACTACTACTACTACTACTACTAATAATAATAATAATAATATTAATAATAATAACTTCTACTATTACTACTATTACTACTACTACTACTGCTACTACTAACTTCTACTACTACTACTAATAATAATAACTACTACTACTACTACTAATAACTTGTAGTAGCTACTACTAATAATAATAATAATAATGATAATAATAATAATAATAATTACTAATAATAATACTACTACTAACTTCTACTACTACTACTTCTAATACTATTAATACTACTACTACTACTACTAATAATAATAATAAAAATAATAATTAATAAAGACTATTACTACTAATAATAATAAAGTTATGTTCAAACCAAGCACACCATAGCTTTTCTTGTGAAATTACTAATAAGGTTGATGTGTCACATGACCCTCTTCCTATTGAGAAAACAAAAGTTGGATCCAAGATGGCCGACATCAAAATGGCCACCATGGTCACCACCCATCTTGAAAAGTTTGCCCCCTCACATTTACTAATGTGCCACAAACAGGACGTTAATATCACCAACCATTCCCATTTTATTAAGGTGGATCCATATAAATGGCCCACCCTGTACTACTAATGATATTAATAATACTAACGTCTACTACTACTGCTACCACTATTACTACTACTACTACTACTACTACTACCACTACTACTACTACTACTACTACTAATAATAATAATAATAATAATAATAATTTCTACTACTACCACTAATAATATTAATAATAACTTCTACATCCACTAGTACTTGGTCTACCACTACTAATAGTAATCTTAACTTATACTACTACTACTACTACTATTTGAGCGCAGAGCTGCTCGTTTTGATGTATAATTTGTTGGGGTGCACGCTGCTGTTCGAGTCACAATAACATTCACGGAAGAATAATATAACACTGAACAAAAATATAAACGGAACACTTGTTTTTGCTCCCATTTTTCATGAGCTGAACTCAAACGTCTGAAACTACAAACACAAAACATCCTTGACTCTCAAATATTGTTCTGCAATCTGTCTACATGTGTGTTAGTGAGCACTTTTCCTTTTCCAAGTTACTCCTTCCCACCTCACAGGTGTGGCACATCAAGGGCTGATTAGACAGCATGAATAATGTACAGGCGTGCCTTAGACTGCCCACGATAAAAGGACACCCTGACATGGGTACACTTTTTCTTTAGGGGGGTGGTAGGGCAGAAAATCAGTCAGTATCTGGTGTAGCCGCCATTTGCCTCACGCAGGACAACACATCTCCGTGGCATGGAGTTGATCAGGTTGTTGGTTGTGGCTTGTGAAACTTGGTTTACTCCTCTTCAATAGCTGTGTGAAGTTGCTGAATATTGGCAGGAACTGAAACACGCTGTCGCATCCGCCGATCCAGAGCATCCCAAACATGCTCAATGGGTGACATGTCTGAGTATGCTGGCCATGCAAGAACTGGGAGGTTTTCAGCTTCCAGGAATCGTGTACAGATCCTTGTAACATGGGGCCGTGCGTTATCATGCTGCAACATGCGGTGATGGTCGTGGATGAACGGCACAACAACAGGCTTCAGGATCTTGTCACGGTACCTCTCTGCATTCAAGATGCCATCAATAAAAGGCACCTGTGTTCGTTGTTCATAACATACGCCTGCCCATACTATTACCCCACCGCCACCATGGGCCACTCGTTCCACAATGATGACATCAGCAAACCGCTCACCCACATGACGCCACACATGCAGGCTGCCATCTGCCCTAAACAATTAAAAGTGGGACTCATCTGTGAACAGAACACCTCTCCAATGTGCCAAACGCCATTGAATGTGTGTTTGCCCACTCAAGTCGGTTACGACGTCAGACTGCAGTCAGGTCCAGTCCCCAGTGAGGATAACAAGCATGCAGATGAGCTTCTCTGAGATGGTTTCTGACAGTTTGTGCAAACATTCTCTGGTTATCCAATCCGATTGTTGCTACAGCGGTCTGGGTGGCTGGTCTCAGGCCATCCTGGAGGTGAACATGCTGGATGTGAAGATCCTGGGCTGGTGTGGTCACACGTGGTCTGCGATTGTGAGGCCGGTTGGATGAACTGCCAAATTCTCTTAAACGCCTTTGGTACAGCTAATGGTAGAGAATTTAACATTAATTTTATGGGCAACAGCTTTGGTAGACATTCCTGCACTCAGCATGCCAACTGCACATTCCCTCAAAGGTTGTGACATCTGTAGCATTTGCTGTTTGATCAAACTGCACAAGTCAGGGAGTCCTTTTATTGTGGGCAGTCTTAGGCACACCTGTACATTATTCATGCTGTCATCAGCCCTTTGATCTGCCACACATGTGAGGTGGGACCGATTATCTTGGTAAAGGAAAAGTGCTCACTAACACATACAGATTTCTGAACAACATCTGAGTCATGGGTGTTTTGTGTGTGTAGTAGACAAAGCTTCAGATATTTGAGTTCAGCTCATTAAAAATGGGAGCAAAACCAAAAGTGCTGCATTTATATTTTTGTTCTGTGTAATAATAATAATAATAATAATAATAATAATAATAATAATAATAATAATAATAAGCGATTAATGTTAAAACCCAGACCAGGTGGATAACAACAACAGTAAAAAAATAAATGATAATAATGCTAACTTCAACTACTACCACTACTACTATTACTACTACTACGAAAATAATAATTATTATAATGCTAACTTCAACTACTATTACTACTACTACTACTACTATTACTACTACTACTACCAATAATAATAATAATAACAATAATAATAATAATAATAATAATAATAATAATAATAATTATGCTATCTGCCACAAAACCAGGTGATTTCAATTATCACAGTGAATGAACCTGGTTCAGATGTTGAGGAGAACAAAAACATGACATGGAGATGACTTGTTGATGCCACAATTACACATCTCTGACTACTATTTCTATTACTATTACTACTACTACAAACAACAACTACTATTATGATGATGATGATGATGATGATGATGATGGGTTTTGTGACGTCTGACTGCTGATGGCGCTGTTTTTGGGCAGGTGTCCGACACCGGGCTGTGACGGATCGGGTCACATCACAGGAAACTACGCCTCCCACAGGAGGTAACGAGAAAAGCAGCTGTTCCAACCACAGCTGGATGCTGCATCTCATTGTTGTATTTGTGATTTTATTTACCGAATGAAAATTTGTTGTATCTTTTGTGGAGCTGTTTGTGACTTTGGTAACACTTTATAATAAGGTTCCCTTTATTAATGTTTCCTTTGTGCATCATTAAGCATGAATAAACTATTTAAAAAAGTATCAACAACTGCTCACTATTAATGTTAATGTTAAGTAATGCATCACTAAGCAGGCTACACAGTGGTTAGTGGTGTTGCCTTGCAGCAAGGGTTTTCTCTGTTCTCTGTCCTGTGTGTCTCTGTGTTGCCCTGCAATGGACTGGCAACCTGTCTAGGCCATACCTCACCTGATTGCCCGGAGACTGCTGGAGACAGGCACTAGCCCCCTGCAATCCTGCGTGGACAAGCGAGTCTAGACGATGGATGGCATTACTAAGCAGACAAACCCTTCAGAGCCCTTTGTCTGAACCTTAAAGACACTTAACATTTAACAATATCAGGAATACCTTATCGCCATCCTAGTGGCCTAGTGGTAGTGTCTGCCCTGGGACTGGGAGATCAGGGTTCAAATCCTGGTCGGTTCTTACCAATTCAATCCAGTTTATTTATATAGCGCCAAATCACGGCAAGTGTTGTCTCAAGGCATTCAAACATTGCCACACACACACACACACACACACACACACACACACACACACACACACACACACACACACACACACACACACACACACACAGCTCACTCTCTTCTCCCATTCCCACTGAGCAGCAGCTCTGTGCTACAGACAGAGAAGGTAACTGAACAGCATCCAGCATGAAAATGAATTGCACATGGACAAAAGGAAGCCATGGCTGACAGTGTCAAATGCAGGTGATAGATCAAGGAGGGTAAGTACTGAGGATTCGGCAGTCGCTCTAGCTTCTTTTAAGGATTCTGTCACTGCGAACAGAGCTGTTTCACTGGAGTGGCCATTTTTGAACCCAGATTGGTAAGGGTCAAGCAGACAGTTATGTGAGAGGTGTTCTGTGATCTGTTTGAAGGTCACCTTTTTGGATGGTTTTAGACAGAAATGGGAGAAGAGCGATAGGTTGGTAGTTCTCCATATGATTTGGAGGAAGGGATGTTTATTTAGCAGCGGTTTAAACTAAGCATGCTTAAGAGACGTGGGAAATGTACCAGATGTCAGTGAAGCATTAATCACTGGCATTAATATTGTGATCAACTGTGTCAAAGGCAGCACTGAGATCTAACAAGACTAGAACAGACACAAGATTCTTATCTGAGGCCATGAGAACATCATTTGTAACTTTCACTAATGCAGTTTCAGTGCTGTGATACTCTCTAAAACCAGACTGAAATTCCCCAAACAGATCGTTAGTGTCATTACGTATCCATTTACTAAGGATAGATTGATTGTATCTAGAATGGGGCCGTAACTAAAGAAAATGCATCTTTAAATTATTTGGTTGGGATTGGATCTAAAATGCAAGTTGAAGGTTTAGATGAAGATAATATTTTTGATAACTCTGAAAGCTCAACTGGAACAAAACGGTTCAAACACAGATGAGGTTCTACAGTTACCTCAGATGCTGCCTCACTTACTGAGGAAGAAGAAATCACATTAGGGAGGATGCTAAAGATTTTGTTTCTAATATAATTAATTTTACTTGTGAAAAATCTCAAAGTCGTTGCTGCTGAGGGCTAAGGGAATATATGGTTCAGAGCTATGATTCTGTGTAAGTTTGGCAACTGTACTGAAAAGAAATTTAGGATTATTCTTATTCTCCTCAATTATTGATGAAAAATATGCAGTAAGAGGTAAGACTTTTAAAATGGGACCCAATGCCTCCCTGCTTGACACTCAGTTGTAAGGCGTTGGATTGGGGGTTAAACCACCAAAAAGTTCCTGAATTCAGCCACAGCTGCAGCTCACCACTCCCCATGAGGACAGGTGGTGATGACTATTTAGTTTCTTAATGCTTAATAATGCACAAAATAACATTAATAAAGGCACCCTTTTTGTTAAACGTTATCGTGACTTTTTCATGTAGCTTGTTTTTTTTCTTCTGCTCCTTGTCTTTAGTGTTTACTTGTCCTCTCCTGTCTCCACCAGTCTCTCTGGATGTCCTCGAGCCAAAAGAAGTGGCATTAAAATCTTCCACAGCAAGGAGGAAAAGGACGACCAGGAGCCAATCAAGTAGGATTCTGGAGATATGTTGATGATGATAAAAAACCTGCACCTGTACGACTCCTTTCTAATTCAGGAATCCAAAGTTCTTCACACCACAGTCATCCATTCACTCTCACATTCATGCTGGTCATTAGCTGCATTGTGTACCAGCTCCCCTGGGACACTGGCACCCTTGAACACCACCAGAAGGTGGGTGAAGGGTCTTACTAAAATGCACAACAAATGACCTGGACTGAGCTTGGGTTTGAACCAGCAATCATCTGGTTAAAGGATGACCTCCTGACCCCTGAGCCACTGTCACAATAGGCTTGGGCAGTATCCAAATCTTAATACCCTCTAGCTTTCTCCACATTTTACCAAGGTGTACTGTAGCTCCACAACTCTGGTCACTTTGCCTCTTTTGTACTGCAGCTGATTAAAGTTTGGTGTAACCGTTCTACTGTGCTGTGGTTTATCCTCCACTGTGAAGCTGTCCAGACTGGTGATTGTTGATTTAAACATTCACGTTGGTGATTCATCAGACCACTTTGACATGAGCTTCTCCAGCCTCATGGACTCCTTCAGATTTACCCAGCATGTTTCTGGCCCCACACACACCAGGGGACACACACTAGACCACATGTAGGGAACCCTGGTCCTGGAGAGCCACTATCCAGCACATTTTAGAGGTTGCCCTGCCTTAAAATACCTGATTTTAATCAGCAGGTGATTACAAGTCTCCTGCAGAGCCTGATGAGCAGTTGAACAGGTGATTCAACTTTGTTGAAGCAGGGCGACCTCAAAAACGTGCTGGATTGTGGCTCTCCAGGACCAGGGTTCCCTACCCCTGCTTTAGATCTTGTTTTTACCCTGACTCTAAATGCTGACAGTGTTTGTCCTGAGGACGGTTATATTTCAGATCACCATTGTATTTTCTTTAACTTGTCAGTTTCTGCGTCCCCACCTCCTACTTGCCGTCTGGTTAGTTCTCGTTTTCTTAATGAGAGCACAGCTAGCCAATGTTCTGCTGCTTTTCTGCTGTTGTTCTGATAATGACCCAGATTTTTTAACTTCTAGGTTTAACGAGCACTGCCTCTCCATTCTGGACAACATCTGTCCTGCCAGAACCAGATCAGTTCCTGCAGTGAACCCTACTCCCTGGTTTAACGACAGTATAGGAGACATATAAATGTTTTTGATGTGTTTTTGGTGGGTTTATCTGTTGTAAATGGAGATAAATGTCAGGTCAGGTGATCATGGGTGGGGATTTAACATAATCTCCAGCACCTGCTCAGATAATACGGGGAAAGTTGTTTTGTTGACCGTCAATAGATTGCTGTGATAATTGTACTGTTTGATTTTGAGCGCGCTATGTTTCAAGTTAACTGGAGTTACTTTAATAAAGTTTTTGGAAACGTAAGTTTGGAATCGCAGCTGATGTTTGTAAAGAGCGCGTCACGCCGGCCCGACTCAGCCTCTCAAGCGGCTTTTAGTTTTCCTCTGAAGTCGCGGAAATATTGTCAAAAAAATTGTTCATGGAGAACAAAGTGGATCTAAGGAGGATCATGAGAAGACTGAAGTAAGCGTTCTGGAGATTTGTCCCTGATGCTCCATTTCCTTTGATCTGACTTTCAGGTGTCCTGTCCCTGGCTGTGATGGACAGGGTCATGTGACGGGGAAGTATGCTTCCCACCGCAGCGCTTCAGGCTGCCCCCTTGCAGCCAAGAGGCAGAAGGACAGCTTTGTCAATGGATCACAGTTTATGTGGAAATCTGGGAAGACTGATGGTATGAGCTGTCCAACTCCAGGCTGCGATGGCTCTGGACACATCAGTGGGAGCTTCCTGACCCACCGCAGGTGAGTCACCTGATCCAGCCGCAGCTTGTTAACTCATCAGTCCAGATGTTTTCATCATGTTTGTTTTCGTTCAGCCTCTCCGGGTGTCCACGAGCCAGCTCGGCCATGAAGAAGTCCAGGATGAGTGGCGTGGAGATCCTGACAATCAAACAGAGAGCCAGCAAAGGTCAGAGACAGGAGGGCCCAGACGCCTCAGTCTCGCCAGCAGGAAACGGGTTTTGTCTAAGAACAGAAACGGGTTTTTGTTTCAGGAATCGAAAATGATGAAGAGATCCAGCAGCTGGATGAAGAAATCAGAGATCTGAACGAGTCCAACAGTCAGGTGGAGTCTGACATGATTAAACTGAGAACCCAGGTGAGAACACCTGCATTGTTTCCTCCATCTAAACCTCATTCTTCTGTAGATGCACTAATGTCCCTGTAATCAGATTACCACCATGGAGACCAGCCTGAGGACCATGGAGGAGGAAAACAAGGTGATGGAGGAGCAGAACGACTCGCTGCTGCAAGAGCTGGCCAACCTGAGTCAGACGCTCATCAGCAGCCTGGCCCACATCCAGCTGCCTCACATGGTGAGAACCGGGTCAGAACACCACTAGAACCCACAGAACCTCTGCTTGTGTAGAGACTAGCCCTTCAGAACCAGAACCCCACAGCTGATCTGGATCATTGCTGTTGGACCAGGGTCAGGTCAGGTCTGGACCCTTCAGACGGGTTCTTGAACATCTTGGTTTCATCTTCATTATTTTCTGGTCTCTGTGTGTCTTAGTAACTTATGTGTCTTCCTGAAGGCGGGGCCTTTGTTCTCCAATCATCTTCTGCTGTGGCCAAATCCAGGGGCAGCATCCTTGTGAGGACCATCCTCTGTTGTCCTGTCGGGGAATTGGGTAGCAACAGTCTCCAGCTGATGGAGACGCAAAAATTAGGCGTTACCCGTGACCCTCATCCACCATGACGGAATGAACAACGATCTTCTCTTTGGCCAACAATGAATTCTGGGACAGCCAGTGAGGAGACAGCTGTCCCGTCCCTGAAATAAGGACACGATGTGTCCTTCAGATTTGGACAGCCTCTGAAGGATTCTGCCCCTGGCACTTGGACACAGCCTTCCTGCGTCTCGTCTCTACTTACTGTTCTGACTGTGTCTTTGTGGGTTTGTTCGCAGGAACCAATGAATCAGCAGAACTTTGACACATATGTGAGCACTCTGACGGACATGTACACCCACCAGGACCAGTACCTGAGCCCGGAGAGCAAGGTTCTGCTGGAAAACATCCGACAGGCTGTTCAGGGCATCCAGGTCTGATGTTCTGCTTGTCTGGAATCGCTGTGTTGCTTTGGAAAACAGTTTGTACATTTTCATATGACCTGAAGGAACGTTCTAGCTGCTCGTGTTCCTGGATGTTCTCTTTGATTTCCTGTAAACTGGTTTGATGTGATTTCCTTTAATGAGGAGTAACTGGCTTTGATGGTTTAACTGGAAACACGAAGAACAATCCTTCATTCCTGGTTTGAATGTCTGAAAATGTTCCTGATCTCATACAAACATCAGACACATTTCCACTGCTTTGATTTTGAAAAGGAAACGTCTGCAGGACACGTAGGAGACAATCGGCATCAGGACACGATCTGGACCAACAGGACAGGGACAGCGTGTCAGCAATATCAGAGGGACTCTCATTTTCAGTTGGGATGTAATCTGAGGAGGAATGTTTGGGAATATGCAATTTCTTACAGGAGGCCTGGTGGAAGTTTGTTCTGACGAGTAGATTTTTGTATAAATCTTTTCCTACAGTCTGGTTTTTCCACCCAACCCGGCTCGGATGCCTGCCTCCTTGTGGACTGGGAGGTTGGTGGAGGGCAGAAGGATCTGGCTTCTTTGGACTTACAGGGTCAAACATTCCTCTGAAAACTGCACTTTTCCTCCAGAAACTGTCTTTCCAGTCTCGCCTGAGCCACTTTGTTCCCGTTTCTGACAGGAATCACACCTGATGAGACTTTTCATCCCAGATCCTTGTTCATGCACTTTATGGGAGCATGTTTCAGTATGACACAACTTAAAGGGAAGCTCTGCCTACAATATCCTTTTATGGTCAACTTCCTGAGTACCACTTCGCCCAAACCAGAGACAGACTTTCATGGTTTGTGAAACTCCGGTCCTGTTCCTGAAGCTAAACCTGGTCATGGAAGAAGTCCACGGCTGAGCCTAAAAGTCGTCCTTCATCTAAAACAGTCTCAGCTGCAGAGCCACCCATGATATCAGAAAGTTAAAGTCCCACAGTCATCATCACACACTGGTGAGACTCATCTTTACATCTGACCCATCCCCTATTGTTAAAGTCTTTGGTACGACCCGACCGGGAATCGAACTCTGGTCTCCCAGTCCCAGGGCGGACACTCTACCACTATGCCACTGAGCTCTAGATGTTCAGAACCCATCAGGTCTGGTTCCTCTGTGTGATGGGATGAAGTTTGGATCCAGTTTGTCCCTTGAAGGAGAACCACACAGGAGTTTTCCTTGACATTTTCTGGTTGTTCTGTTTTCCTGCCTGTAGATGTCGGAATCCACCTGCTTCTGTAAATCGTTGGGATCTCTGAGGAGTTAAAGCACAATTCTGCCTAGTGTGGGCGGGGGGGTGGTCTCAGCAACAAAGTGTCTGAATGCAAAAGAAACTCAAGGTTTACTGTGAAATCTGCTGATGAAGAACTTTTCTACATTTGATTTGTGTTTCGTTCCTGCAGACCTGCTGGCATGAGTCGTGTTGATGTTGCTGCTTTTGTGTGATCCTTTCTGTTCCCTGGTGACGTTTTTATCATCTGTTGTTCTCAATAAACCCGTCCAATACTGAGTTGTTGCTACTGGGAGTTTATACACACATGCACACACACGCACGCACGCACACACTCTCTCTCTCTCTCTCTCTCTCTCTCACACACACACACACACACACACACACACACACACACACACACACACACACACACACACACACACACACACACACACACACACACACACACACACACACACACACACACACACACACACACACACACACACAATGTTCCTGAGTTGATCCTCTCAGGTTATTTTTGGGGTCAGCTGTTGTTTGTGCTGTCAGCAGTAAGGCACCCCCCCCCCCCCCCTCCCCCCCTCGCTCCTCCTCACCTCCTCTTCGTCTCCACACCGCTCACAGTAAGTTCTCCTCTAATTTTATTGTTATTAGTTTCTAAATGTTTTACATTAACTTTTAAAACGGCGATAACTGAACAGAAACAGGATCCTCACCAACGTTCGTTAGGATGCCGGAGTCCTGCAGAGGTCTCTCATCCGTACCGAGGTGCAGATTTCTGTGTAACTCAGGAGTAATGAAGGCTCTCTGGTTCCTCTTCTGATTCTACCTTCAGCTGTAAAACTTCACTTCACGATTTAGTCTCTCTGTAACGTCTCACAGGAGATTCTCCGCCTCCGTCAGCACCTCTGTCCAGTATAATAAACAAATATTGTAGGAATAAAGCTTTTATTTATCTATCGTGACTTCGATCATCAGGATGGTCGGATCTTTAATAGATTAGAAAGGTTTGTTTTTACTATTTCAGCTTTAACCTGGGATGTAAACACACTTGTTCACCTGGATAACTAGTTAACTTGTTCGGATTCTGAAGGACGGTGTGTCATTGGTTGGATAACATTTAGGGGCGGAGCGTATCTCTGGTCCAGGTCTGGCTCAAGTTTGGGGTCACGGGGTCAGAGCAGCAGGTAGAGATCGATATGAAGCAGGTAAATGGTGTGTGTGTGTGTGTGTGTGGCCTGAGCAGACCAGATGACCATATCAGGAGGCACTCAAAATAGATGAACCTCTAGCAGCTGTGTGTGTGTGTGAGAGAGTGTGAGTGTGAGTGTGAGAGAGAGAGAGAGAGAGAGAGAGAGAGAGAGAGAGAGAGAGAGAGAGAGAGAGAGAGAGAGAGAGAGAGAGAGAGAGAGAGAGAGAGAGAGAGAGACTAAATTTAAACCTGACAGATGAAATACCAAGAACATTGGACATGTTGCCTCAGATCTGGACTCAAACAACCAGGAAGTGACTGATGGAGACCCCCCCCCCTCCCCACCCCCACCCCATCCTCTCACTGGACACTCCCAGAGCTGGGATTGGTCCAGAGTGGTCTGATTCCAGTGCTCAGACTGGTTTAAGTGGGAACATTTCTTCAGGCTGAGGTTAAACCAAATAACCTGTTCAGGTTCCTCAGGCAGCTTGTTCCTCATTAACCACCAGCTCTGCACTCGTTGGTAATGTCTGAATGGTTCTCCTGATTCTATCAGGATCTCTGAGGATGGAGATGTCACTGAAAGCAACAGAGATGTTGATGCCGCCCCAAACTGATGAGGCCTCATCCCTGGAAGCAGAGAGCTCAGAGGTCCACGAAACAGCAGCCTCATCCTCCTCTGTGACCTTCGACCCCATGCTGGAGTTCAATCAGCGGCTAGAGGACATCATCAGGACTCACGGTCCTGCAGGCAGCGTCCTGAACAAACTGGTGGGTCTACTGGGTCGACAGGTGACACAAACTTCCAACAATCGCATCTAAATGAGAGGAAATCTCTGCTGTTGTTTTGAATGCAGCCTGCTGACGCAGAGATGGAACTGATGGAGAGCAGAGGTGACCCTGTTGTCATGGAAACGGGTGAGACGATGCTGTCAGTGAGCATCCTGACCCACACACACACACACACACACACACACACACACACACACACACACACACACACACACACACACACACACACACACACACACACACACAGCAGGGAGATGACAATAATAAGATTGCAGGTAAAGGCAGTAAGCCAATATTGTATACTTCAACCACTAAAAGCAATGAATACAACAAGAACTGTGCAGCATACGGGACTCATACCAGTTAAACTGAGGAGGTCTACACTCTTACTGCAGAGGGGATGAATGACCTACGGTAGCGTTCTGTTTTACATCTGGGATGTCTCAGTCTGCCTCTGAAGGAGCTGTCCATGGCCTCCACAGTGGAATGCAGTGGGTGGGAGGGGTTTTTAAGATGGAGGTCATCTTCCCCCAGCATCCTCCTCTCAGATTCAAACAGTCACTGGTTTACGTCTACAGCGGTAACTAAAGTCGCAAATGTTCTGCTTGTACGTTTATACTGATTTGGGCGAATAAGGATCAGATCAATCAATCAATCAATCAATCAATCAAAGCTTCATTTATAAAGCGCCTTCCGCAACCCTGTCAGGAAGCCCAAAGCGCTGAACTTGGTACAGTTAAGTAAATATATTGAATAAATCAACAATAAAAGAAATTCAAATTACAAAATACAAATTACAAAGTACAAAATGGAAATTACAAGATAGATGAAACAGTCTGGTAAAGGACAAATGTGTGAAACACATATGGATTGAGTGGATGGATTGAGTGTACCAATGAAAACTGTGGAATGGATTCAACATAAAAGAGGGCCAAAATCAAGCATGTTCTGGAAACACCAAGCGGAGGAGGTGTGTTTTTAGGTGATTCTTAAAGACTGGCAGAGAAGGGGACAGCCTAACTGAGGGTGGCAACTGGTTCCAGAGTAACGGTGCTAGGACTGAGAAAGCCCGGTCCCCACGGGTACGACACCTAGACCGAGGGACAGCGAGCAGGCCTTGGTCAGAGGAGCGCAGAGCGCGGGATGGGGAATGTTTGTTCAGGAGAGTGGCCAGATAGGGGGGACCACCACCCTGGAAGAAATTATAAACAAAGACGAGTATTTTGAATTGTGAGCGATAGCAAATCGGAAGCCAGTGCAGGGAGGCCAGAACCGGACTGATGTGGTCTCGTTTCCTGGTCCCAGTCAGGAACCTGGCGGTGCTGTTCTGCACAAACTGTAGGCGACGCAGTGATGACTGACACAACCCTGCATAGAGTGAGTTGCAGTAGTCAAGCCTAGAAATTACAAAGGCATGCAGTACCCGCTCCAGGTGGGCTCTTGACAGCATATGCTTGATTTTAGCAAGGCGTCTCAGGTGAAAGAAACTGGACCGGATCATAGAATTGATGTGAGCATCAAATTTAAGTCCTACATCAAGTTTCACCCCCAAACTGGTAACAACTGGTTTTGAGTACGGAGAAAGAGGGCCAAGATCAGCATAACGATCCACATTCCTGCTGTTGGGGTGAAAAACAATGAGCTCTGTCTTTCCCTCATTCAGATGTAGATAGTTGGCCATTAGCCAAGACTTCACCTCATTAACACAGGACACAAGATTACACAGATTATAGAGAAGTTTCTGGTTTAACCTTAGCTTTGTATTAGGGACGTCCCGGTACGATACCGATAATGCAGCCTTCAGTACTGACCGATACCGGTATCGATCCGATACGATATCCGCACAAATCATGCATACTTTACCCGTTTCATATGAACGGCCTGAGAAGTGAGTTTACTCAAACCGAAAACAAAGCCAGTAAAAATCGTTTAATCAACCTTTGGCTGCATAGATGTGAACAGCACAGATGTGAACAGCACAGATGTGAACAGCATAGATGTGAACAGCACAGATGTGAACAGCACAGATGTGAACAGCACAGATGTGAACAGCACAGATGTGAACAGCACAGATGTGAACAGCACAGATGTGAACAGCACAGATGTGAACAGCACAGATGTGAACAGCATAGATGTGAACAGCACAGATGTGAACAGCACAGATGTGAACAGCACAGATGTGAACAGCACAGATGTGAACAGCATAGATGTGAACAGCATAGATGTGAACAGCTGAGCGTAGGGACGTAAGAGAAAACACAACACTGCTCACTGACCAACTGCTACAAGTTCAGTGACTAAAGTTTCTATTTCACACACGGAGAAAATCCTCCTGCAGCGTTTTGTGATTCTGCTTCAAACACACGATGAGGTTGGATCGTTAACCTTCTCCGGTTCTGATCCACCTCGAGAAACCGGTGCATGACGAGTGCTGCAGTGAGCCAAACTGTCGTTTTGGGACTTTATGAAAACACAGCCACATGGCTGACGTTGGTCGTCGCTACTTTGCGAGCACACACTGTTCTGATCACGCGGTCGCTGCATGCTGGACCAGGGCGCTGATGGGTAGAACTACTGGAATGGATTTTAAAGCCAATATCGGAGATTTTTCATGCAGTCAGATATGATCTGATATTGTTTTGGATATTTTCCAATATGAATATTGGAACGGGACATCCCTAGTTTGTATCTCAGGTTGGTTCAGCTTTTGAGATAAAAGCACCAAAATAAGCTTGTTGATGTCTTTCAGCTGTTTAAATACCCTTCAGCAGCAGGAAGGGTGTTTTTGGTCCTCAGTACAGCATGACATCCCTGTCCTTGTCCTCCACAGGAGCATCGCTCAGACAGAGTCTGAACAATCCGTCGTCTCCGGAGGAAAAACTTGAGGAAGTGAATGGGAAACATTCAGTCCTGGTGAGAAGGTCTCCAGTCTGACTGACTAGCATCAGCTGCTGATGTCACTAAAACCTGAGTGTGTTTGCAGGCGGCGCCGAGGCGCAGCGACGAGCAGCAGCTCAGCCTTCTACAGCAGAAGTTCTCCATCCTGATGGAGGAACACCAGCAGCTGCAGGCGGAGCATCGCAGCTCCATCGCAGCTCGCAGCGCACTGGAGGGTCTGTGTAGAGATCTGCAGGCGCACTACAGCGCCATGAGGGTACGGGGTTAAAAACACATCAGGCCTGCACAAATGGAAGCTGGAAGTGCACTGACTAAACACAAACGCATAACATCTCTTTAAATAATAGTGCTGTTGTTTTAACCTCAGCTTCTCTCAAGGACTTAACTCCTCCCAGGTGGAGGCGGTTTTCCATCTGAGCTCTTTAGGGTCATTCATGAAATAAACGATCAGAAAACAGACGTGTTAGCTCACTCTGAGAACATGGAAGTTCAACACACATCTGACACGTACCACCGGCCACAGGAACTCCTGGAATGAGTGTCCAGGGGTCTCATTTGTCAAACATTGCATAGAATCCTTACTAGAACCGTACTTAAGCTCAGCAAAAAAAATGTACTGACGCCAAGTAGGTTTGTGATCTATCAAACATGAAGTACTCACAGCTGCACGCAATCTCCGGCTCATAAATCAGAGACGATCTAGAAAGGTTCTCGGCTGCTTTTTAGTCCCATCCCGCCCTCACCTTACTGCCATAAATGGTCAATGCAAAGTGCCTTGTGGATCTCATGCATATACAGAAGCTGGCTGTTGCAGCGCTCCACCATTAATGATGGCGACCGTAGATCAAGGCAGATCAAGGAAGCGCAATTTCACAGAAGCAGAAGTTGAGGTACCTGTGGGTGAGGTGGAGAAATGAAAGGAAGTGCTTTTGCAAAACAAATAAGAGAAAATCCACGGAGTGGCACAGCGTTGCTGAAGCCGTCAATGCTGAATTCTTCAGAGAGATCTGTGGTGGATATAAAAAATGATCCGATCAGGATTTGATCCCCAGACTCCCGGGTGAAAGTCACACACACTAACCAGTCAGCAAAACAGAGATCTCCCTTGTTCAAGTAGGCAGGGCACATGATCACTAGGGTCACAGTGACAGGACACACATTGTCACAGACACATGTCATTCTGTCTCAATCTGTCCCCCTGCTGATATTCTGCATTCTGTATTCTGGCTTCAAACTGTGTGTGTGTGTGGGGGGGGGGGGGGGGGGGGGGGGGGGGGGGGGGGGGCTTGTCCTGTGTGAAAATGAAGCGGTACAAATGATAATGCTGCAGGATTTCATAACTGTATCCTTCTCAGCAGCAGCACTGCAGGTGCTCTCCATGTCCAACATGTGTGTAAGCCAGCTCCTTAGTCAACTTAAAGTTGCGCACATGTTTCCGCTAAGTTTTCTTTCATAAATCCCAAAGTTTGCGTGGAAAGTTGCTTACGCAGTTTTCCGACCCCGTTTTGTGCGTAAGCAAGCTTGATGAATGAGACCCCTGGAGTTTGATTCTGCAGCCTGTTCTTGTGCTTCCTACCTCCTGCAGGAGGAGACTCTGCAGCGCTGCAGGGAGGATGAGGAGAAGAGGAAGGACATCACGTCTCACTTCCAGGAGATGCTGACTGAGATCCAGGCTCAGATCGAACAACACAGCGCTCGAAACGACAACCTCTGCCGTGAAAATGCCAACCTGACAGAGAAGCTGGAGAGTCTCATGACGCAGTATGAGAGGAGGGAGGAGGTGAGAAGGACCGCGAGGAACCAGAACCATCCTCGTGTTCTAACTGCTATGAAAGACTGATGGAACCAGTAAAAGAACCTCAGTCTTAAACACTAACAGTCTTAATGATCAGGAAACAGACCTCGCCTCTCTCAAGAGGGAAAACCTGGAATCTGTTCTAAATAAACCAAAAACACTGAAGCTCTCCTCGACTTCCTGCAGAGTCTGGAGAAGATCAACAAGCACCGAGACCTCCAGCACAAACTGACAGAGGCTAAACTCCAGCAGGCCAACGCTCTGCTAGCCGAGGCCGAGGACAAACACAAGCGGGAGAAGGAATACGTGAGTTTCCACAAACCTGACACTGCTGTGTAGTTATGAGAAGCAGCTGCTGGTGAATCCCTAAAGCTAACCACCGGTCCAGCTCCGGCCGTACACACTAAACGCTAGCGAGGGCGTTCCTCGCAGCAGGTTAGGCGAGGTCACAAAGCGAAGTAGAACACAGGCATGACTTCAGCCGTTCACCGATAGCAAGCAGCGCAAGTCCAACAAGGTTCTGTCGGCTACGGAGGTTTCTCAGCTAATCGCCTACTTTTCTTTACTACTCAAGCAACTGGAAGTCTGGCTTTTATTTTGAAATCTTCCTAATGTTTTGCACTGCTTTTCTTGTTTGACTTCCTGTCTGGCCTCATCTGAACTGCTGAGGTTCTGGAAGCGTAACTTTAGCAGAGCGTCCAAAACCCGATCCACGACGCCGGCGGCTGCACGGGTGCTACGCAACGCTTACGCGTCTGGTGGAAAGGTCCGGTGTGGGCGGCCTGCCGTGAGATTGGTCACACATAGGCGTCATTTTAACCGGGGACACGGGGACATGTCCCCGGCAAAATTTGTGATTGGCAGCTGTGTCCCCCCCACTTTCAAAAAAGCCTGCCTTTATTGTCCCCAGCAATTTTTAAACCCCACTCAAGTGTATGGTTATTGTCCCCAGCAATTCTGAAAACAAACTGACGCCCTTGGGTTCACATGAATCCTGATGAGAATTACAAACTGCAAAGGATCATGGGACATAATCATGTGCAGCTGGCTGAAGTGCGGAAGCTTCTTCAGTTGATTCTCTCTCCTGCATTTCTGAAATGCAGGAGAGAGAAAAGAAAGCGTTAACGTTCGCCCCGGCATCACGCGGCTTCACAATAAAAGATCAGAAATGAGGTGTGATTGGATAAACCACTGATGTTTTTTACACACCGAGCGAGACCATCAGCCCACCGTCGGGTCAGAACTCTGATGTTTGTGATCAGCACCTGTCTGACTGTGTCCCGTCTCTGTTGCCGTAGTTGCTTAGGGAGGCTATTGACAAAACAAAGAAATGCTTCGCTATGAAGGAGCAGGAGCTGGCCATGAAGAAGAAGGTAAAGACTCACCTGTAACGCACCTGTGTTTGCTCTCTTCTAACCAGTTACTGGTTCAGGCTGCTGAGTGGGAAGCTGCAGGCTAGGACACTCACAGAGCAGGCGACTGTCATGCAGGCACAGGTGAATACTCACGGAGACACCAGGACAGGTAGATGTTCACAGCCAGGAAACACCTGACCGTTAGTCCAGGATGAACAGGAAGGGCCAGGAGATCCAAGGCTTTCTAGTTTCTTTTCATTTAAAAGAAGTTGATCTTCCAAAATCTGCTGGTGAGTCCAAACGGAGCAGAACCACCTGCTGCTGAAGGCTCCAACAGCTTTTAGATCCAGGTCTTTTATTCTGATGTCTAGCAGCTCCACTCCATCCACACGAGTTTGGTTTAGATGTTTCTTTAACTGGATAAAGGAGGACATGATGCTGGTCTCAGTTCTGTTTCTGCGTCTCTAGCTGACCCTCTACGGTCAGAAGTTTGATGAGTTTCAGGAAACGCTGGCCAAGAGCAATGAGATCTACGTCCGCTTCAAGAAGGAGATGGATAAGGTAGGTGGCCGGTACGCCTCTGGTTAGGAGATCTCATCTGGTTTATGCTTCACTCGTTTTCCGTTTCCTTGTAGATGACAGAGAAAATGAAGAAGGTGGAGAAGGAGTCGAACCTCTGGAAGACCCGGTTTGAGAACTGCAACAAGGCTCTGACGGACATGATTCAGGAGGTGGCGGGACACGATGAATTACGTTCCAGTGGGAGGAACTGCCGTTCCTCATGGTTTCTCTCTGGTTCCTCCTCTTCTAGAGAACAGAGAAAGCAGGAGAGTATGATCTGTTTGTCCTGAAGATCCAGAAGCTGGAGAAGTTATGCCGTGTTCTCCAGGAGGAAAGGAAAATTCTCTACCAGAAGATAAAAGAAGTTCGTCACTCCAACACCAACCTCCCATCCAAGATGTCTAGCCTTACAGGAAACAGTGACCCCTGTGACCATCCGCCACTCCTGGATGCAGAAGAGATCCAGGAGCTCCAGGAGGAGGACCCGGTCCTGACGGAGAACATTGTCCGTCTTAAGGAGGAGCAGGCAAGCTGCAGGAGTTTGCTGCTTCGCTGTTAGCGACGCCAGATGACGTTGAGGAGAATGAGCAGAAAGAAGAGTCAGAGCTGGAAGAAAGACATGATGGTCTCAGCATTTGTCCAGTTTTAAACCAAACCTCAGGGTCCAAGAAGTTCTGCTTCCAGTTTCTCATCAGGTGGAAGATCCAAAATCAGCAGAATCTGATTTTCCAAAAGCTGTTAAAGAGGAACTCAGAAATCCATCTGAGGCTTCGACAGGAACCACGGCTCCTTCACCTGAAGGTCCAACACCTGAGGGTACCAGCTCAGAAACCATCAAGACAAGTCCCGAGGTCAGAGAGGTTCTGACCCAGGGCCAAGTGGAGGAGGTGAAGCAAGCCAGAGCAGAAGAAGACCTCCAAAAACCTGTAGGACCGACACCAGAACCCAACAGAACAATGAGTGAGCCGGAACTAGAAGCCCCAAAGCCCAAGATCCAGGAGGTGACAGGCGAGGTCAAACCAGTCCTCCCAGTGGAAGAAGAGAAGGCCCAGCAGCAGCAGGTGAGTGGACCATCTCAAGAGCCAGAAGAGTCCACTCAACCGTCTGAAGACAAACCAGCTGCCTCTTCCTCTGAAGACTCCACGAAGCAGCTACCAAAGAAGAAGAAGAAGAAGAGCAGCAGGAGCGTGAACTGAGCACTCGGAGGTGCTGATGGTGTGTTTTTGTGACCTGATGTGGTTTGTTCACTCTTATGATCCAGGATCAGCAGGAGAGGAGGGAAACGAACCAAAACTGTTTTCTAGTTTAGACGTTTGACCTGAAGAATAAAGCTATGAATCAGCTGTGTGTGTGTGTGTGTGTGTGTGTGTGTGTGTGTGTGTGTGTGTGTGTGTGTGTGTGTGTGTGTGTGTGTGTGTGTGTACTAAACCCAATAAAAATATACAATGGGTATTTTTGCATATGTTACCCTGACAACATTATGACCTCTAGAGACGCAGGATTTCTGTGGCAGCTGAGGTGTTGGGGGGATCCGTTTGGGTGGCCTGAGGATCGGGTCTCTGGCGCCAGAAGGCGAAGCTCTCAATTTACCGTTCGATCTACATTCCTACCCTCACCTATGGTCATGAGCTTTGGGTAGGGACCGAAAGACTGAGATCGCGGATAAAAGCGGCCGAAATGAGTTTCCTCCGCAGGGTGGCTATAGGCTCTGAAGGGATTTCCGCCGCTTTTTTCAGCGTTTTAAGTTTAAAGACGGCGATTAAGACGCCGTTAAATAACCAAACGTGCTCAAAAACCCAACCTGAAGGGTTCCTCTGTGTTTTATCCTCTGTTCTTGTAACGCGTGTCTTCTGGTGAAACCCTGAGTTCTGGTTCTGGTTCTGTTCTTCTGGACTTTAATCAAACCTTTCGGGTTGTTGTGAACATCATCCATCCAGTGGGCGGACCTAAAAGGTAACAGGTTCACCTGCGCTTTACGTCACTTGATTGAGATTAGAGGACAGCTCAAGCTGCTTTCTCGTTGGCTGAAAGACTAGGACTGATTCTAAGGACCAATCAGAACAGAGGACAGCTGTGGTATCGTGCTCCCAGGATGCAGTTCACGTTTCCAGCCACTAGATGGAGACCCGTCCCCTCCTTTCACACCTGTCAACTCGTTTTAGCTGAAAACCAACAGATGATAGAAATTACCAAGAGATCCGCATCGTGTCGAAATATCTCAGTTTTATTATTTTATTCATGGATTTTATCAAAGTGCTCTGGAGTAAAACAAACAAGCACCAACTTCTTCCCAACCCTCAGTCAGCAGGAATATTCCACCGGAAATGGATCCATCACATCATTCAGAGAACTGAAGGTTGATGGTTCTGCTGCTCCATCAGAGGAATCTTTCTTCTGCATATGAACCCAACATGAGACGCCTGCACCCTCCACACACACACACACACACACACACACACACACACACACACACCTGTGTTATCCACTCCTGTTTTTAATCGTCCATCTCCAGATATTTTCTCCAGTACAAAGAGTTTAGAACCACAACGATGGGAATTGTGGACATGAGTTTATTATCAGTTCTGGTTCTGGTTCTTGTCTAAACCCCGAACTGAAACCTGGAAGGACTGAACTATTTGAAGAGAACCAAACAGATGATGAGCGTGTCTCAGAACCAGCGTTTGGACTTCAGGCTCTCTGTCTCTCTGACTGGTTCCTTTGTTCGCTGAAATTGTCAGGCCCAAAATAGCTTTGACCTCCGAGGAACCAAAAGTTTAATCTGTTCTGGTTCATCTTCATCTTCTCTGACTCCATCTGGAACAGAACCAGGATCAACGTTCTAAAAACTTGTTCTCCTTCAGAGTTCTGCCAGCATGTGACTGCTACTGGAGATCCTTCCTGCCAACAGCCATTGTAATATACAACAACTCTTTGATGACTTGATTATTATTATTATTATTATTATTATTATTATTATTATTCTGAGCTACTACAGCAATCAATTTCCCTCTGGGATTAATAAAGTATTTTTGAATTGAATTGAATGTGGATCTGGTTCTGCTCAGCTCTGTTGGGTTACCACCTCTGTGTCCCCATCCAGGTCTGGTCTGGACCACAGTAGATGAGAAGTCTGTCCCTCGTGGAGACAGCAGGACCTCCATCATCACGATGGAGGTCAAACTGCTCTGTTCAAGAAACGTTCTGTCCACCAAAATGACCTTTAAAGACCCAAAATGACCCAAAAGGAGTCATTTTGGGTCTCTGCAGGTGTGTGTGTGTGTGTGTGTGTGTGTTTGTGTGTGTGTGTGATCATTAAAGTGTGTAATAGTGTTATTTCCATCAAGCTGCTCACAGCTCAGTTCACAACTGATGGTGTGTATCTGCACTGCTGGAGGTGTTGTCTACAGAAAATAAACACACACACACACACACACACACACACACACACACACACACACACACACACACACACACACACAAACACACACTCACACACAGGAAAACATGGGAAGATCTCTGAAATGTTTCATTTTTATTATTATTGCTCTGGTCCCACGCCTCGTCAGAGACTGGTTTTAGTTTATTTATTATCTTTTGGTCTGGCGTTCCCGTAGGATCACGGTGTAGGGAGACAGTTCCCGTAGGATCACGGTGTAGGGAGACAGTTCCCGTAGGATCACGGTGTAGGGAGACAGTTCCCGTAGGATCACGGTGTAGGGAGACAGCTCCCGTAGGATCACGGTGTAGGGAGACAGTTCCCGTAGGATCACGGTGTAGGGAGACAGCTCCCGTAGGATCACGGTGTAGGGAGACAGCTCCCGTAGGATCACGGTGTAGGGAGACAGTTCCCGTAGGATCACGGTGTAGGGAGACAGTTCCCGTAGGATCACGGTGTAGGGAGACAGTTCCCGTAGGATCACGGTGTAGGGAGACAGTTCCCGTAGGATCACGGTGTAGGGAGACAGTACCCGTAGGATCACGGTGTAGGGAGACAGCTCCCGTAGGATCACGGTGTAGGGAGACAGTTCCCGTAGGATCACGGTGTAGGGAGACAATTGTGAATGTTGTTTATTATGAGCAGCTACACAGAAGGACCCACTTTTGTTCTTTCAGCATGTCTGTTCCTGTTCGGGGTGTGGTGTGTGTGTGTGTGTGTGTGTGTGTGTGGGGGGGGGGGGGGTAGATCAGAGAACATCTAAATCTTTGAATAATTACAAGTGAAACAGTAAAATGTTGTAACCATTAAAACTTTGTTTTGTTTAGTACTTTTGAAAATTTAAAAATAAACAAACTTTGGTCGTATAAAAAAGCTGCTTCAGTTTGGTTCTTCTGACTGGTTCAGAGCCTCATTTCATCTGAGAAGATAAAAGCAGGATGTCAAACGTGTGTGTGAGTCCTCTGCTGTCCTCCCACCACTTTGTTCATGCCTCTTCTCCTCTTCATCCTCCTCCAAACTGTGATGAAATCATCTGGTCCAGGTGTGTCGGAGTTGGCTCTCAGGTGGGTTCTCCAAAGTCCTGATGATCTCCTCTTCCAGGTTCAATCATCTTTCAAACAAAATTTGTTTCTACCTTCTAAAAAATCTGAATCTTATTTTATACGTGTCTTTTTTGCACAAGTAAAATAAAATTATGAAGATATTAAAGTTTCTGTCATTTTGTTCATTTTAGTGTTTTTGTTTTGTTCCTCTATGCCCTGGAGGTTAAAGAGCAGGTTGTGTTCCTGATCCTCCTGGGTGCCTTTGGGTCCTCCTGGATGCTTCTGGGTCCTGGACGTCCACCATCCTGCAGGTCTGAGTTCTCCTGCAGAGAAACATCTGAACGCTGCAGCATGGTGGTCCAGTAGGACCCAGATGACGTGTTTTATGTTTCTTTAGGATAATCTTTTATCACAAGATTTCATCTCTCCAGATTTCTGTTCCCGTTTCTTGTTTGAACAACAAAAACTTGTTTTCTTAGGAAATCTAAATGTTTGGTCCTCTCACAGCTGCTCTCCTCCAGACCCACAAACAACCAGATCCATCGTCTCTGCAGCTCCAGGAGGCATCAGGACTTCTGCAGCGTTAAATGAAGATTGGAGAGTGTGAGAGGGAAAATCGATCCAGATCAATATGAGAGCGGACAGCATCTTCTTCTCTTCTCACCATCACGCCTGCAGCTTTGGTTTTGAGCCGAGCCGATAAATGAAACCAGGATTCATCACATTCCAGCTCCTGCTTCCAGGTTTAATTGAGAGGAAAACGAATCCACTTGGTTTGGAACTGGAGCTTCAGGTCCAGGGTGGTGGAGATCTGCAGACAATTCAGGTGAATCACTAAAACACAAAGACATCAAGGAGTTTCTGGAACCGTAAACTTTCAGGAACGTGTGATGATCAGAAGCTCTTCCTAATTAAAGCGTCTGTCCGTGATGGTTGGGCCCACGCGTGGAGAAGACTGATAATCCTGTCAGACGTGTGGCGGGCTGGTGGGCCCACACACGTCCCTCACGCGCTGATTCCATTAGCAGCTGTCGCTGAGGCGCCTGGAGGTGGACAGAGAGCCTCATCAGTCCGACAGCAGCTCTCTGCTCAGTCTCAGCAGCACACAGGCCCCACCTGTTTAATCTGGCTTCAGTCCACCAGATTAGATCACAAGGATGTGACTTCCTCCTTCCTAACCCAGCCATTTCACATCAAACACAAAACTCATCATTTCATTATTATTATTGTTTATTACTCAACACAGCATCTCATCACACAGAACAGATAATCCCTTTAATCTGCTGACTGGATAATCTAATATATGTATGTATGTATGTATATATATATATATAGCTTTAAATTTCTCTCTGATCTGTAATGAAATACAAAAGGTCAAGAAAATAAAACCTGGTTTGGAAGAATTATCAGATTATTAATGATATTATTACCCAGAATATTCATCAGATTATTGACCAGATTATTATTCATATTAACTAGATTATTAATGAGATTGCTAACCAGATTATTCATCATATTGACCACATTATTAATCAAATTGTAATTAGATTATTAGCCATATTACTAATTATATTAACTAGATTACTAATCAGATTATTAACCAGATTATTAATCGTATTAACCAGATTACTAATCAGATTATTAACCAGATTATTAATCACGTTAACCAGATTATTAATCATATAAACCAGATAATTAATCATATTAACCAGATTACTAATCGTATTAACCAGATTACTAATCGTATTAACCAGATTAGTAATCATACTAACCAGATTACTAATCAGATCATTAACCAGATTATTAATCATATTAAACATATTACTAATGAGATTATTAACCAGATTACTAAAAGTATTAACCAGATTACTATAAATACTAACAAGATTATTATTCATATTAAGCAGATTACTAATCAGATTACTCGTTGGTATTAAAACTAAAGACCAATAAAGAAAAAAGATCAGAAACAAAAATAAAGGAGAAACGGTTTTCACTGAACGTTTCCCAGAGTTTAGAGGGATGTTTCCTCCATCCAGAAATCAGATTCTCTGGGGAAGAAAATTCCCATTGAACAGCCTTTGTTTGGAGAAACAGGGTTTCTGTTCTTCAGGACTGAGGAGCTAACAGCTAGTCTCTGTGTGTTTTTGGCATCCTAAATCAGCTCCGACCTCCTAAATTTTCATTTGGATTTATTTGGTTTAGTTTTCGTTTATTTATGTGGCAGACACGTTTATCCAAAGCCACGGACAACAGTTAACCTACAGAGAATGTCGTGGTCTGTGGGGGAAACCGGAGAACCCGGAGGAAACCCACGCATGCACGGGGAGAACTCGCAACTCCACGCAGAAAGACACAGCCGGGTTTCAAACCTGCAACCTTCTTGCTGCGAGGGAGCAGTGCAAACAACTGAACCTCCATACGTATTTTCCAGCAGGAATTGCAGGAATTTCCTGCTGGAGTTGTGGGCCGGATAGAGAGCTGCTCCAGACATCTGTGCCAGTCAATAAATGCAGAATTCCAGGAAAGGAAAATTCAAGCAGATTTTTTTCTTTTATTTGTCACTAAAGAAAATCAAGCTTTGCTATTTGATGAATTTGAAAAACACGGAAAAAACGTCCGTGGCTCCGAGCCGTTAGCTCGTCGGTCCTGATGCACTCAGGCTGTTCAGGAAGCTGATGGGGGAGACGAGAAGTTTTCGTTAAAGTTTTTCTTAGAAACATGTCGGAATAGACGACGTGTTCCGCAGAGAGGGCCGGTCTCCCAGAACCTCCTGGTTCCAAATCCAGACCAGGACCTCCGGCGCATCCCTGGCTGGATTTAGGCTGGGATGCAATCCGAGTCATGCTGTGTCACTTCCTGCATGCCGGGGAGACGAGAAGCAGAGTTCATTCCCACTGATCCTGGTTGTCCACCAGGAACCTCCTCCCGTTTCTGCTCTGGGACAAAACGCTCCACCTCCAGCTGAGAGGTGACGGAAGTTCTTCTGGATGAAAGCGAGTCTCCTGCGGGTTTCGCAGCCTGAAGCTCTGGTGAAGCTGCTGAGGAGGAGGTTCCTGGTGGACACCTCCGGTTCCGTCTCCTAAAACTGGTTCCTGTGTTCCTGTTGGAGCTGAGATCTTACGGACTCTGGACCTCCATGTTATCGATCAGGTTGTCCTTCTTAGTAAACTGCAAGTATCTGATGGACCTCCACACACCAACAAAGGTGTCACCAGCTGACTGAGCGGAGGAGGAGGTCGACACCCGGTGGAGGTGCTCCCGCTGCATCTCCACGGCCTCCTTCTCCGTCATCACCCCATTTTTCAAGCCTCCTTCTGTGTCTCCTTGTTCACCGTCTCCTGCTGGTACCTCTCCATTAGCTGCAGGAGGTGTTAGCTCCCTCCTGTCACCACTTGTCTCCTCCCCGGTCTCCAGGTGACCCGGGTCAGAACCAGAGGTAGGTCCTGCTCCATTTAGAGGAGGTTTCTCCCTGTAGGGATCTCCTGGCTGCAAGGTATCCTTCTCCACCTTCTCCAGGTCCTCGTACAGACTCTTCTTCTTGGTCTCGTAGTATTTGACCACACAGTAGGTGATGGAGCCGATGGTATTCACCACCACGCCGCCGATGAAGAGCCGGGTGGGAGACACGTCCTTGAAGGCCAGCATGCCCACGGTGATGGTGGCGATGCTCTTCACCACGCCCACAAAGCTGGTGGTGACAGCTGAGTTGATGTAGGTGCAGTGGAGCGTGGTGAAGTTCATGGCACAGCCGATGAAGATGCAAAGGATGAAGATGATGGTGATGGGAGGTTCCTTCCAGCCCTCGTAGCTCCACATGCTGAAGGCATCCATGGAGATGAGGGAGCATGCCAGCAGAACCTGGAACACAGAAGAAAGATCAAACACGGATCTACGTGGAGATGACGCATGCAGAGAGAAGGAGGTACCGGGGAGGCCATGATGGTGATGGCGTACTGAGCTGTCAGAGGCCCATACTCGCTGTCCAGACTGGTCTTCTGGATCAGAACCAGGTAGGAGGCGTGGATGATGACAGCCAGAACACCGGTGACGTAACCGAAGGGATCTCCAGTGAGATCTCCGGCACCTGGAGGTAAACAAGGGTCAGAGATGGGAAACATTTTTGTGTTTGAAGAAACATCTGGAGGTGGATTTAATCCCAGCAGGGTATCCAGCTTCTGCCAGAATAGCTGAGTCAGAACACAGAGGAACAGGAACAAAAGATAAAAGCCCATTTCACATCTGGGTCGCCCGGCCCTGGTAGGTTTAGGGCAGTGCCACATCTGGGTCGCCTTGTATTTTTCCATGCTCAAACAGTCAGTTTTTCAGCCTTCATAGCAAAACGGTCTGCTTTGGGCTTGCCCACTACGACTGATTGGCCAGCTCAAATACACGCCTACCGTTAGGGGGAGCCTCCAATTGGTGAATAGAATCAACCAGTAAGAGTCATCATCGTTCTAGATTAAACATCTTCTCACTGGTGCTTGGACCTGCTGATTCCCCCACCCCACCCCTCTAAAGCCTCTAAAACGATGCTATTCTGCATCCGTAACCATGGAAACACGTCAAACATCTAAAACACTGGACATCTGGCCACAGCTGGAGGTATTGATGTTTACCTGCAAGTACAGCACCCCCGGTGGTGATGAGCACGGCAGTCACCACGCCAACGGATGGCATGGTGTTCCTCAGCACACACACACCGATGCAGAGCGTGAAGAGAGGCAGGCAGCGCTTAAACACCACATACATGGGCAGGCTGAGGCCCCGCAGGGACCAGAGGGTCAGGGTGGACTGCAGTGTGGAGAGGACACACACCGGGGCAAACTCCTGTAGCACACACACACACACACACACACACACACAGATACAGACACACACACACACACACACACACATGCACAGACATTCGCTCACACACACACACACACACACACACACACACACACACACACACACACACACACACACACACACACACACACACACACACACACACACACACACGAGCTTGTTAGTAGAACATCCTGTGATGAGGATCTTAACAGTGGTGCCCCCAGATAATATTGATACGGGTGGTCCTGGCCACCCTTGGCCATTCCTTGGGGGCACCACTGCCTGCAGATTTGATACAATAATTAAAATTATCATAATTTTGCTTTTGAATCCTAAATTTTCTTCATATCCAGTCACGATCATATCCAGGTTCTGATCTAGAGATGTTTAACCTCCTCAGTGGCCAAGTGGTAGAGGTTCTACCTGGTACTGGGGGACCGGGATTCGGTTTCCCAGTATCAGTACTAACCCTAACCCTTAAACCACCAGAGAGTTCCTGAGCACAACCATTGCTGCAGCTCACCACGGGGGTGGGTCACATGTGGAGGTGTACTTTCACCAGTGCGTGCTGATGGCTATGGGACTTTATGGTATTTAGAGTGATGCAGGGTCAAAGGTTACTGAAGGTCCAACTTCACTGCAGTGTTCGGGTCAGAAACTGAACCCAGACTTAAGAACAAGGTCCAGAGAGCTCCTGATCCACAACTGGAACCAGAAAAAAGGAAAGAGCGGTCTGGATGCTGGGACCAGAAGATGACCGGATCAGGAGTTCTGGACTGCATCAGATCAGAAAAAGTGAAACTAAAAATCTTTTTGGGTAAAAACTGAAACGGGCTCAGAAGTAATTCTGGTTTGTGTGCAGAGAAAATAAATAAATAAATAAATGTCATTTATTATCTCACCCCTATTTATTTATTATTCCCCCCCCCCCCCCCCCCCCCATGATTTTCATTTATTAGAGAAATTTTAAATCATTTGTTTATTCCTGGTTCGGATTAAAATCTCTTATCCGTTCTATTAGTTTGACTTTTAGAGCAAAAAGTTATTTATAATTATTACTCTATAAACCTGAAGCTCTTGGACAGAACCGAGCCGAACCTGGAGGATTCTCACCTTGGACAGCTGCAGGCTGAAGGCGGGGATCTGGACCCTGCCGAGCCGCCGGAGGGTCTCCAGGGTGAGCGCCGCAGTGACGCTGGTGAGGAACTGGATCAGGGTCAGGAAGTTGAAGTGATAGTTACTGATCAGAAACTTCAGCAGGATGTTCAGGGAACCGGAGAACACGCCGTGCGCCACGGCCACGGAGATGCCCAATAGGCGGCTCCGGAACACGTCCATGACGGCGGGGATGGGACAGGGGCACCGGACGCTCCAGGTTCGGGAGGTTTCGGCTTTAACGTGCTGCTGCTAGACGAAGAAACAGAACCAAAAGGCTGGAAAGTCCGCCGCTGCTGGAAGAACCTTTCAAAACTCTGATTGTCCACAGTTCCCTCTGAGCTCCAGGTCCAAACGGGCGGGCTGGGTCCGGACCGAGGAGAGAGATGGAGAGGAGGACGCACGGGGACCCGGGAGGAGGAGGAGGAGCAGTCAGGACTGAGAGCTGCTGCAGAATCTCGTGCTCAGAACCACTCAGGAGATTTTTGCCGCAGCGCCTTTTGACCAGTGTGTGTGTGTGTGTGTGTGTGTGTGTGTGTGTGTGTGTGTGTGTGTGTGTGTGTGTGTGTGTGTGTGTGGGTGGGTGGGGGCAGGCAGGACCGTCATGGGAACATAAGCAGGTTTTCTCTTCAGGTGAGATTCTGTGTAAAACTTCTGCACCTGTTGTAGCTTCCTGAACAGACTCTGTTCACGGAAATGGGAATTGTATTATGAGGCTTCCAACTGATCATGCAATAGTTCATACGTCATACATAAATGAAAGCTGTTGCTGCACAGGTGAAGGACACATCAACTCCAGGCAGAAAGGCTAGCTGGGATTTGAACCTGCAACATGTGAGCCACCAGAGACCCCTGCTGCAGCTAACCAGTTTTAGATCAAACCAACCAGGACGATTAGATTTGATGTTTAGTTTGATCCAGGTTCTGGACAGTCAGGAGGTTCTGTTCTTGTTCAGTTTGTCCGACCATCAGAACCAAGCTGACATGAGTCCAGCAGGAATTGACCAACTAGGACCTCTGTGTATAGGCGGAGATCCCAGCGGGGATGGGGGGGGACGCATCCCCCCCTCACACAAAGTTGTCCCCCCACAAAAGTTATTGTAAACACATAAATGCTATCAGTAAACCTGTATTTTCTTCTAAGACCACAACGTAAAAGTTAGTCTGCAAATACAAAACAATGTGTTTTTAATTGTTGAGAAATTATAGTCCACCCCCCCACCCCCCCAATTTGGTACGGTCGGTCCACACGCGCCGTTTCCAACGGGTGGGGCTGCCGGCTCCGCCCCGCTCACAGCTTCACGGCAGCCCGCAGGCTCACAGGAGGCGGGAATCAAAAAGCCAGCGGTTTCCAGCAGTAAGTCATTTATCACACGCTTGTTCTACAAACTTAAATATGTATGTCAAATGTGGTCATAAATGTCAAACATAGACACCGATTATCTTTAGATTTTGATCACCGGTCGGAGATGCCTTTATGACAGACCACCACCACCACAGTAAAAAAAAAAAAGTTGCCACTTCATGTTCTCTGGTCATTCCAGGATTATTCCACTATTATTATTCCATTCACTAAGGTGACCAAAAGTTCCTTTTTCCGGACACGTACGCTTTCACGGTCTGCCCCTGGAATCTGCGGAGCATTTATAGATCGATGAAAATGTCCGTGTTTCATTCTATTTAGCAAATGAATATGGTAGAATCAAAACTAACTGGTCTGATGTATGGGATACCACAGCGTTTAACCGCTCTTATCACGTCTTCCCCAGGCTCTGCAGCTGTTTACAATATGTCAAAGTGCAGGTGCACCGTGCAGCTTAGGGATTAACTGGTTGCAGCAAATGTGTGGTGGAGGCACGTTGCTCAAAGCTCTCAGTGTAAAACATAGAGCCAAAGATCCCGTTGGCCACACAGACCCAAAAACACTATGAAAACTGAGAAAAGTGACAGATCGATTAAACTGAAAGATAAACTAGAGTATGTACAGGTGCTGGCCAGTAAATTAGAATATCATCAAAAGGTTGAAAATATTTCAGTAATTCCATTCAAAACGTGAAACTTGTACATTATATTCATGCAATGCACACAGACCAATGTATTTCCAATGTTCATTACATTTAAATTTGATATTCATAAGTGACAACTAATGAAAACTCCAAATTTGGTATCTCAAAAAATTAGAATATTCTGAAAAGGCTGAATATAGAAGACACCTGCTGCCACTCTAATCAGCTGATTTACTCAAAACACCTGCAAAGGCCTTTAAAAGGTCCCTCAGTCTTGTTTTGAAGGCACCACAATCATGGGGAAGACTTCTGACTTAACAGCTGTCCAAAAGACAATCATTGACACCTTGCACAAGGAGGGCAAGACACAAAAGGTGATTGCTAAAGAAGCTGGCTGTTCGCAGAGCTCTGTGTCCAAGCACATTAACAGACAGGCGAAGGGACGGAAAAAATGTGGTAGAAAAAAGTGTACAAGCTCTAGGGATAACCGCACCCTGCAGAGAATTGTGACGACAAACCCATTCAAAAATGTGGGGGAGATCCACAAAGAGTGGACTGCAGCTGGAGTCAGCGCTTCAAGAACCACCACGAGGAGACTCATGAAAGACATGGGATTCAGGTGTCGCATTCCGTGTGTCAAGCCACTCTTGAACAAGAAACAGCGCAAGAAGCGTCTCGCCTGGGCCAAGGACAAAAAGGACTGGACTGATGCTGAGTGGTCCAAAGTTATGTTTTCTGATGAAAGCAAGTTCTGCATTTCCTTTGGAAATCAAGGACCCAGAGTCTGGAGGAAGAGCGGAGAAGCACAGAATCCACGTTGCATGAGGTCCAGTGTAAAGTTTCCACCGTCAGTGATGGTGTGGGGTGCCATGTCATCTGCCGGTGTTGGCCCACTCTGTTTCCTGAGGTCCAGGGTCAATGCAGCCGTCTACCAGGAAGTTTTAGAGCACTTCATGCTTCCTGCTGCTGACCAACTTTATGGGGATGCAGACTTCACCTTTCAACAGGACTTGGCACCTGCACACAGTGCCAAAACCACCAGCACCTGGTTCAAGGACCATGGTATCCCTGTCCTTGATTGGCCAGCAAACTCGCCTGACCTTAACCCCATAGAAAATCTATGGGGTATTGTGAAGCGGAGGATGCAATACGCTAGACCCAACAATGCAGAGGAGCTGAAGACGACTATCAGAGCAACCTGGGCTCTCATAACACCTGAGCAGTGCCACAGACTGATCGAGTCCATGCCACGCCGCATTACTGCAGTTATTGAGGCAAAAGGAGCCCCGACTAAGTATTGAGTGCTATACATGCACATTCTTTTCATGTTCATTCTTTTCAGTTGGCCAACATTAGAGAAACAAACATTTTTTCATTGGCCTTTAGAATATTCTAATTTTCTGAGATACCAGATTTGATGTTTTCATGGGTTGTCACCTATAAATATCAAATTTAAATGTAATGAACATTGGAAATACATTGGTCTGTGTGCATTGCATGAATATAATGTACAAGTTTCACGTTTTGAATGGAATTACTGAAATATTTTCAACCTTTTGATGATATTCTAATTTACTGGCCAGCACCTGTATATGTTTAGTGTATTTGTAAAGTAAATATTTTTAATTTGTATTATTAAAATGAAACAAATATTTCAAGGGGGCTTGGGGAGAAATTATGACACGTCTCTAAATAACAACCCATAGAAGCACTGATTTGATCTCATTTCAGAGAAAAATAGAACAGGTTAGATGCACCTAATAAATAAAATTACTAACAAACTCAGGAATCTGTTGCTTCACTGTTCTGGTGCTGAGAATATCACTAATGCGGATCGAAGGAGATACACAGATGAATGCACCTCTTATTTATTATTTGGAGACTAAATGTACTGCAGCTGGCAGAGGCAGAGATTTTTTCTATTGATACACGAATTTACAGAATCATTTTAAATTTTAATAGGGGAAGACTGCAGGAGGGAGCGGTGAAATACAGGGGTCCCCAGCAAAAACAAGAAACTTTACGAGTCTGATGAAACCCGCTGGTTTTCCATCAGGCAGTCATGGGGCAGCTCCAACGACCCAGTGGCTGTGCTGGGTCAATGTTATCGAGCTCAGTCCGGCTCGGCAGAGGGTGAACGAGCCGAGGCGACGTCGTGCTCTGCTTAAGAAGTGTTATTTTCCCACTTCAGAAGAAGCGTCCAACGTGTTTTTACGCTTTCTCCGAGACATGTCACGTCGCTAAGTTGTTAGCACTGCACGCTAAAACGTCAATAGTGCAACGTAGCCTGCTGGAGGTTTTAAGGGTTCAGATGAAACACCCGACCTCTCAGGCTGCTCACACATCGATCTTAAGTTGTCGCTGTTGCGCTCACATCGTAATACAGTATTAGATGCGGTTAAAGTCAGACATGAAAAAATTAATAAATTTTACATGAATAAGTGATGCTTAGCCTGGTGGGGGGAGGAAACCTGGCAAGATCGTCAACACTCGTTTATCTTAATGCTCCTGAAACATGTAAACCAAAAAGCATCATATCCACTGCTACCTTTCTAATTTTAAACTCAGTAACTTATGCTGTAACTTCACCTTGCCCTGCCTGCTCCTCCTCGCTGCCCGCCGGTGTCGGTACAAGATCTGCTCAGGTGCAAAATCGACTCGGGGTCCGTCGACTGCCGATGATGTTAAAGTAGTTGATTGGCTGCACATGAACCTTACAGAATTATAGAGCTACATGTATATTAGGGCTGAACGATTACCTGCATGTGCAATTAAATTGCGATGTGACAAAAGGAGATTTTCTAATCGCAAAGGCTGCAATTTGGCAGCGAGTGGTTAGCGCAATGCTAATATATGTGGAAAAACCCATAGGAATGCTAATGCTAATATCACCGATTACATTATTACAAATTATGAATTAGAAACGTGCCAAATGATTACATTTGGAGTCTAATAGAACGTAAAACTACCATCAATAAAATAAGTACAGACAGGTATTTTAGTAAAGCCAGAAAACTTTTAACTCCAGAGTTTTGGCTAGCAGCTATGAGCAAAACTGAACTACGCATGGACAAGACGTCAAAAACTCTAAACACAAAATACTTCAATAAACGGGACACACTTCTTTCCTGCAAATACAATTTCACAGGTGTTGCTAATACCTATGATCCTTCAAGGGATGTGCTCAAAGAGGAGTTCAAAATTAAGAATAAAATAGTGTTTTATTTTACAAATACCATTATAAACACAAACTTACGTCTTAAGAAACATTATTTTAATAACGAAACTGCTAAATTCTTTCCAACAGTATAGATGTGTAGTGTATTTTGTCCGAGTGGGTTTGCCGTACTTTGACGTCATCGGCAGTCGAAGGACCCCGAGCCGATTTTGCACCCGAGCAGATCTTGTACCGACACCGGCTGTGATCACAAGCGACAACATAGTAGTTCCCGCTGCTTCTTCGGGAAACAAAATAAATAAATAAAACTTGGGATCTTGTAGGCATGGTGGTGGGATTTCTGCTATGGCAGCCCGCCACGGCTATGCCTATGTAAGGGAAACCCTGAGTGTTGTATGTAGAGAGCATTTTTTTTCATGTCCCCCCCAAAAATTACTCTCTGAAGTTTTACTGTTTATTGTCCCCCCCAAAATTGAAATGGGATTTCCGCCCTTGCCTCTGTGGGTAAAAACTCAAACTTCAGACGTTCCTGTGACGTTCTCATCAGGATTAATGACTTTATTCTCCGATAGCTTCCTCCTCCTCTTCATCATGGTTCTAGCATGTACATAATTTTAGGGGTGGACAGGGGGGACATGTGCCCCACACTTTTTCCAAAGTCAAGTTTTTACCCCTGCACATTTTCCCATTGAAAAACAATATTAAATAGACACTGGTTGAGCTCCAGGACCAAGCAGAAAACAACAGTTTGTGTTGAAGCCCATTTCCCATTAGAACATACTGTAAAGATACCCCCCACCCCCGGTCCTCATGCCGGTTGTGCCCACCCCCCCACCCCCAATTTCTAAAGTGAAAACTACGTCCATGATTCTACGGAACAGGAGCAGGAGCATCTAACAGGCATGGAAATGACTCCAACCCAGTTTTAATTGAAATATTTGATCAGAAAATCAGCTTCCAGGCCAGGAGGGAAGGAGATCCGCCCTTATCAACTTCATATGATTAGCTGCCAATTAACACAGACAGAAGATGATGCTCAGTGGGGAGATTAGAACTGGGCCGCGGATTAGAACCCGGAGAACACGCCGACAGCTGGAAGCTATTGTTCACAAAACCCAAAGTCATATAGATTAGTGCGAGTAATTTCACCTAAAACAGAGCTGGGCACACACACACACACACACACACACACACACACACACACACACAGAGCTGTGTAATAAACTGTTTTGTTTTTACAGTAAAAGTCAGTTTTGTGTCTTTTGTGAAAAAGTTTATTCGTGGGACTTCAGGTTGACAGACCATCTGGAAGGACCAGAAGATGGAGCCTGGACCGGTTCTGATGTTTAACCTGAATTTTCACTTCAGGACTTCCACCAGATTCATGTTTCTGTAGATCTGCTGGTGAAGCTTCTGCTCACCAGAACTCAGAGACAACTGGACGTTTTATGGCTGAAGGACATTTAACCACACAAGCCGTAAAGGTGTGGAACACTAAAACATGTTTTAATGATTAGTATCTCTGATTCTAATGGGTCAGTCTGAGTGTTTCATGGAGGCTGAACATGAAAATTGTCTCCTACACCTATCTCCTGCAGTAGCTTCTGATAGAAAACAAACGGTGAAACTCTAGGATAGAAAATCCTGACAGATCTACGTCACCCTGTCCCTAATGGGCTCGACACACAGGAGGCGACATCGCCTCTCCTCCATTCATTTTCAATGAGACATGCGCAACAAAGCGATAATCACGGGTCTCCTACCAAGCGAAACGCGAAAAACGTGCGTGTGAAATTTTGCGCTCGTGCACGTGTCATGCACAGGCGACCCAGCGACGCGATCCAAGAAAGTTGAAACATCTTCAACTTTTCATCGCTGTCGCTCGGACGAGGACCAACCAACGGAGGTTTCATTCACTGACCAATGAGCGGACAGGATGCTCCGTACATCTCCGAGCAAACATGGAGGAGTTGATTATTATTATGTGTTATATAGTAAAATCAAAAGTAAGATTTCACATAACTCTAGCAGCACCTTGTGAAACATCATATCTACCGCTTTTTTAACTCTGAACCGCTTAAATAACCTTAATTCCCTCCAACCTGACACAGCCAAGCAAAACAACGGAAGTTTCGATTTCACCATGAAACAGAACGCGTAGACGGCTTTGCCGCTGGATCGCCTCCCGTGTGTCAGGTAATAAAAGCGACAGCGACAAATTTCGCTGATCGCGGTTGTTTGTCGTCTCCCGTGTGTCGAGCCCATAACATTAATGGACTCACACATCTGGACTCACGACGGGAAATGCTGTTGTTGGTTTAGCGTCCAGGAAACAGCAGAAGACGATCTTTTATATATCACCTCTCAAGATAAAAATCAAGAGGTGCTTCACACAAACGAAAACATTAAAGTATAAAAAGATTTTAAAATGATTAAAAATATGTTTAAAATGAGAAAAGAAAAAGGTAAGAAAAGGGAGAGAAAGTGAACAGGAAAGAGGAAAATCAGTGGATCCCGGAAAAGGCATAATAAGAGCAGAACAAGGAGAGGGAGGTGATGAAGGTCCCACCAAACCTGAACAGGTGAGTTTAAAGGAGTCCACTGAGTCCACTGATCTCAGGCTCAGGGGGAGAGAGTTCCAGAGTCTGGGGGCCACAGCAGCAAATGATCTGTCACCTTTGACCTTTAGCCTGGTGCTGCACAACCAGTAGGCTTTGATCACTGGACCTCAGGGACCTGCTGGGGGTGTAGGGACTAAGAAGATCACCAATGTAAGATGGTGCTTGTCCATGTAAGGCCCTATAGACAAGAACCAGGATCTTGAAATGAACCCTGAAGTTGACTGGCAGCCATTGAAGCTGGAGGAGAAGCGGGGTGATGTGGCAGAGAACGTCTCGGCTAGTAGAAGCTAATTGTTAGCATTAGCAACTCCACCACACAGCTAAACTCCTCCAGGCTTGTGTTATTTGTGAAGATAAAACATCAACATTGCAGTGCAAACAGAGACAGTGGTAGAGTTGTGTTACTGTTAGCCAATCAGAGGAGAGATGTCCACACACCAGGAAGTAAGACTCCAGATCCCGGCATCTGAAGCTACTTTCTCTTTTGGCTTATTTTTACTTCCTAAAACAAGAGCGCCAGAGCTTTTACCCACACAGATCACCTCACAAGGTGTTCATTCCTACATGGGACTGCTGCAGATGGACTCCTTTAAGCTTGAGATGTTGCTATGGGAGTCTAAGCCACGCCCACCTGCATCTGCACCAGCTAGTTCACAATCACCCCCCCGACTCTACTTGTTTATTTATGTGGCAGCGCGTTTATCCAAAGCCACGGACAACAGGTAACCTACAGGGAATGTTGTGGTCTGTGCGGAAAACCGGAGAACCCAGAGGAAACCCTCGCATGCACAGGGAGAAAATGTAACTACACGCTGAAAGGTTGCAGCCGGGTTTTGAACCTGCAACCTTCTTGCTGTGAGGCAACAGTGCTAACAACTGCACCACCCTGAGGCCTCATGGCCTGGTGGTCCTCTGTGGAATCTGCTGCTTCATTGAACACATCATCTTCATCAGTGACATTTAAAGACAGACACCACAACATGAAGAAGTGTGAAAACTACAGGATTGGGTGTTTTGGGAGGAAACGGTGAGGACTTTAATTATGAGGCTGTCTTCTGCAGGAACAGTTATATCTAAACGTCACCATGAACCGTGTCCAGAGTCTACGGGTTCATCGCTACAGGACCTGAGATGACGTCTTCCAGAATGAAACCATGACAGCAGGATCCCTGAGGAACTCCAGATTTGATCCAATTATCATCTGTTTTCTGTTTGGCTACATTTATGTGAACAATGCCACTTTAACCCACCAATGAACACATGAATGTTAACAAGCATAGCATCTAAAAAAGGTTTTTATAATAATTTCATGATTTCCACTCTTCTGGTTCTACCTCTTTGCAACATCATACCATCTAAACCATCTGAGGACACGCTCAGCCCAAGTCCAGATTCCAAACCAGGTCCAGGTCCAACCATCACGGTCACAAGGAGTCACGTGCTTTTTAAAACTCCAGTTTGTTCTTCAGCATTCTCATTTCTAACTTTTGGTTCCACTTGGAGCTTCAGGAGCTTTGCTCCATTCATAAACGTATTAACCGTCAGAGAAGATAATCTCATCAACTCTGTAATACAGGTGTGGGAGGAGCTTCAAGTCAGAGATGATCAAAGCAGGAAGTATCACAGGAAATACGGTGTGCGTGTGTTACGGCGCAGCGCTGTGTGTTCCAGCTGAGAGGCAGGCAGGTGAGTAGATTTTCACCGTCTCATCCCAGGAACAATCCACTACCTGCAGACACAACACAATCATTTCTACATCTCATTTGGTCACAGGGCCAGAGAAGGTTAATAATTATAGTTTGTGTTTACTGAACAAGGACAGCAAAAAAAGATAATGTTACATGTGAGCAGCCAGCGTTAGGTACAGAGGTCTTCTAGCCAGAGACTAATTGGAGAACGTTTAGAAAATAGTTGGAGAATATTTAGAGAACATTTAGAGAGTATTTAGAGAATGTTTAGAGAACATTTAGAGAATATTTAGAGAACATTTAGAGAATGTTTAGAGAACATTTAGAGAATATTAAGAGAATGTTTAGAGAACATTTAGAGAATGTTTAGAGAACATTTAGAGTATGTTTAGAGAACGTTTAACATTTAGAGAATTTTAGAGAACATTTAGAGAATATTTAAAGAACATTTATAGAATGTTTAGAGAACATTTAGATAATATTTAGAGAATGTTTAGAGAACATTTAGAGAATATTTAAAGAATGTTTAGAGAACATTTAGAGAATATTTAGAGAACATTTAGAGAATGTTTAGAGAACATTTAGAGAATATTAAGAGAATGTTTAGAGAACATTTAGAGAATGTTTAGAGAACATTTAGAGTATGTTTAGAGAACGTTTAGAGAACATTTAGAGAATGTTTAGAGAACATTTAGAGAATATTTAGAGAACATTTAGAGAACATTTATAGAATGTTTAGAGAACATTTAGAGAATGTTTAGAGAACATTTAGAGAATATTTAAAGAATGTTTAGAGAACATTTAGAGAATATTTAGAGAACATTTAGAGAATGTTCAGAGAACATTTAGAGAATGCTTAGAGAATATTTAGAGAATATTTAGAGAATGAAATCAACCATTAATGTTGAATCTATTTTTATGAGTTTGAAATCATTCATCAGTGATGAACTCAACACTTTCTGCTGTGAAGTCAACAGAAAGGATGAAACATCGAAGCGTTCCACCTGAATCGGCATCCATTGCTGGGTCAGAGGGCCAGTTCTGCCTGGTTCCACATAACCAAACCCTTCATTTGGGTTTTTGTTTGTTTTCAGAACCAAGAACAAAAGAATAAACTGAATGTTGACATTTATTCTTCTGCTTTCATCAAAGAAAAACATAGTAATGCTTTAATCTTGTCATAAAAACAGGACAAAGGCACGACTTCTACTTCCAGTTCTCGTTTTACTCATCTCATCACATCCACTATTACTAGGCTATTAACTAGTTTAAAGTGTTTGTGTGTGAATCAGGACATGACTATCACCTGAGATACATGCATCTGTATGGACGGTGTTATCGTGTCTATACAGGGACCAGACTATACCCTGGATGGTAGCTCAGGAGGTAGAGCAGGTTGTCCAATAATCAGAAGGTTGCAGGTTCGATCTTGGCTCTGACCAGAGAATTCTGCTGTTGTGTCCTTGGGCAAGACACTTAACCCAGCTTCCCTGCTGGTGGCGGTCGGTGGGCCCGGTGGTGCCAGTGTTCAGCAAGTTGACATGTGTCTGCAGGGACATGGCTATCACCTGGTTGACGCGTGTCTGTGGGGACGTGGCTATCACCTGGTTGATGCGTGTCTGTGGGGACGTGGATATCACCTGGTTGACGCGTGTCTGTGGGGACGTGGCTATCACCTGGTTGACACTAGTGGTGTGCATCTCTACCTGCCTCACAATTCGATCCGATTCCGATTATCTGCCTAAAGATTCGATTTGAGTCTGAAATGCATCACGATTCTTCACACTAAAATTTTCAATACTTAATAAAAGCAGTAGAATAGTTTTCAATTTCTTTTTTATTTCGATATCCCTGAAAAACAGAACATACGTCTATTCACCTATTCATTGTGGGCGATGGTGGCACAGGAGTTAAGTGCTCGCCCCGTAATCGGAAGGTTGCAGGTTCGAGCCCCGCTCAGTCTATCGCTGTCGTTGTGTCCTTGGGCAAGACACTTAACCCACGTTGCCTGCTGGTGGTGGTCGGAGGGACCAGTGGCGCCTGTGCTCGGCGACCTCGCCTCTGTCAGTGCACCCCAGGGCAGCTGTGGCTACATCGTAGCTCATCCCCACCAGTGTGTGAATGTGTGTGTGAATGGGTGAATGACTGATTGTGTTGTAAAGCGCCTTGGGGGGTTCCAGGACTCTAGAAGGCGCTATATGAAATACAGGCCATTTACCATTCACTATAGCGAGCAACAATTTTTATATTACATATCTATAATTACTTAAATAATATAAGAAAAAATGTTTTCTGTAGAGCAGCTTCAAGATAGAATACAACTGAACTTAAAAATAGTAAACAAATACTGTGTTAAGTGATTCTTTCACATCCAGGATCCCAAAACCGAAATTAGCCCAGACATCCGATTTATATGTAACGGGTGCATCTTTGATTATTGGTAATGTTCGCCCTGTATTCCTGTCCGCCATTTCTGTTTTAGATTGGTGCTAGGTTCTGGACCAGAACCTGATCCCAGAGGAACTCCAGACCTAAAACCTTTAGTGGTCGTGTGTGTAAGGAGGCTCCCCCCGCCCACCCCCCAGTGGTGCTGCTGTTCTCTGAGTCTGAACCACAGGCTGAAGACCGTTCCAGTCCCGGGGGGTCACCTCATGGACGGAGATCTCCGAATCAGTCGGGTAAAACCTGAGGGGCTTGTTAAGAGATGAGTAAGCAAAGCGGCCGAGGGGTGACTCAGCCTCTCCTCAGAAGAGGAATGTCCTCCTTTAATTAACTTTAACAGCCGGTCGTAAAGCGAAGGCTGCCAAGACTGCAGCAAAGCACAAAGAGAGCAAGAGCCACAGAGCCCAAACAAAGAGCAGGAACAGAGACACAGCCAGAGGACCGGAGGGACTCGGGAGGTAAGAAGTGTTTCATGTCTCAGATGGAAAAAAGACTCTAATTAAAAGACTAATGAGCTTCAGCCGCGTCACACGGCAGTTACACAAAACGCTGGTTATCAGCGGTAAACGGGTGCTAACCACTCTGGCTCCATTAATCCTCAACAAAAAACACCTGTTATTAATTACTGTTTAGGAAATGAATGTCCATTTAAAGCTGCTCCCCCCCCCCCCCCCCCCCCCCAGTAGTCCTGCTGAAGAGCTCCTTCCTCACAAACACCTAAAGATTCAGCTGCTGGTCTACAAGAGGACGCCTCAGAAGCTCCTGAGTCCTGCAGCAGGCTCCTTATCTGAGGACCTTCGCTGGTCCAAACACAAACTACTGATGGCGTCGTTTTGTAAATCAGCTTCATACAGATGCTGACATCTCCGTTCAGAGCTTCATTCACACAAATCAGAGCTATTATCATTACACTGGGTTCTGCTGATCAGAACCAGAATCACATCAAACCACTAGAATCCGCAGATCCAGAGGTGAAAATCTGACCCTTCTACCACTTTTATTGGATTTTCTGACTGTAAAACAAAAACAGGATATGAGCAGATTCCCTCGCTGACAGGAAGAGATTCACCGATACGACACACACACACACACACACACACACACACACACACACACACACACACACACACACACACACACACACACACACACACACACTTTACCCTAACCCGGCACTGCTCTGACCCGTCTGATCAGAACCAGAACCTGCTGAAATGCTGACAGGCTGATGGACAAGAATAGAGATTAGACGATGATCAGGGAGACCGTCTCCAACCTGGAAAACATTTCAGATAACAAATATCTGAAGTGGGAGAAGCTCTGGTCCAGATCCAGAGGCTGTCAGCAGCTTCAGTCTCAACCATCTAAACAAAACATCTGGAATCATCCTCACAAAACCAACAGAAATGGACACCACCTGACCTTGAGCAGCTGATCTCCCAACAGGAAGTCTCCGGTGTGTGTACCCGTCTCTGCATCAGACAGAACATCTGTAGCAAAGTGAGGACATCCCAGAGCTCTACTGGTTGGTGTTAAGAGGTTTGGTGTGAATTAGGTTTTAGTTATGGTTAGGTTAGGGTTAGGTAATGACGGTCCTCACAACGAATGCTAGACAAGTGTGTGTGTGTGTGTGTGTGTGTGTGTGTGTGTGTGTGTGTGTGGGTTACCTGGTTGGGGATGTGCAGGTTAAAGTCCAAACCACACACAAACTCTGAGTGATGCTCCACAGAGTCCAGAAGAGGCGGAGTCCTGCTGAAGTCCCAGAACCTGGACTCACAAAGAGACAGTGTTACTAACGGATCTAAACCAGGACCCTCATTCATCAACCCTACTTAGGATCAGATCTAGGCGCAGGAACGACTTACACGTGGTGTGGTATTTACCATCTAGCACAGCCAGTAGCGGAGCACATCAGAGCCGGCCGGTCTGGGGGCGGAGCTAATGATCGGCCCATAAAGTCTCGATAACCTGATTTTAGCTGTGGCATCCTGTATTTGGTCACTGGGCCTTCAGTGGCGGTTTACAGACCTAATCTGATGGTACAACGGTGGCGGGCTGGCCAGCTGGGAATTCTGGAGGCTTTTTCTAAGCTGGAATATATCTCACAACGAACAGGAATAGCAACTACATGTGCAGCTAGTTTTAATAACCCTAACCCTAACCCTATTATCAACACCAGATGGTTTTTTAACATTCTGATAACTCTTCTACGCTGCTTTTGGACACTTGAGCAAATTTACATGTACAGGTGCTGGCCAGTAAATTAGAATATCATCAAAAGGTTGAAAATATTTCAGTAATTCCATTCAAAACGTGAAACTTGTACATTATATTCATGCAATGCACACAGACCAATGTATTTCCGATGTTTATTACGTTTAATTTTGATATTTATAGGTGACAACCAATGAAAACATCAAATCTGGTATCTCAGAAAATTAGAATATTCTAAAGGCCAATGAAAAAATGTTTGTTTCTCTAATGTTGGCCAACTGAAAAGAATGAACATGAAAAGAATGTGCATGTATAGCACTCAATACTTAGTCGGGGCTCCTTTTGCCTCAATAACTGCAGTAATGCGGCGTGGCATGGACTCGATCAGTCTGTGGCACTGCTCAGGTGTTATGAGAGCCCAGGTTGCTCTGATAGTCGTCTTCAGCTCCTCTGCATTGTTGGGTCTAGCGTATTGCATCCTCCGCTTCACAATACCCCATAGATTTTCTATGGGGTTAAGGTCAGGCGAGTTTGCTGGCCAATCAAGGACAGGGATACCATGGTCCTTGAACCAGGTGCTGGTGGTTTTGGCACTGTGTGCAGGTGCCAAGTCCTGTTGAAAGGTGAAGTCTGCATCCCCATAAAGTTGGTCAGCAGCAGGAAGCATGAAGTGCTCTAAAACTTCCTGGTAGACGGCTGCATTGACCCTGGACCTCAGGAAACAGAGTGGGCCAACACCGGCAGATGACATGGCACCCCACACCATCACTGACGGTGGAAACTTTACACTGGACCTCATGCAACGTGGATTCTGTGCTTCTCCGCTCTTCCTCCAGACTCTGGGTCCTTGATTTCCAAAGGAAATGCAGAACTTGCTTTCATCAGAAAACATAACTTTGGACCACTCAGCATCAGTCCAGTCCTTTTTGTCCTTGGCCCAGGCGAGACGCTTCTTGCGCTGTTTCTTGTTCAAGAGTGGCTTGACACACGGAATGCGACACCTGAATCCCATGTCTTTCATGAGTCTCCTCGTGGTGGTTCTTGAAGCGCTGACTCCAGCTGCAGTCCACTCTTTGTGGATCTCCCCCACATTTTTGAATGGGTTTGTCGTCACAATTCTCTGCAGGGTGCGGTTATCCCTAGAGCTTGTACACTTTTTTCTACCACATTTTTTCCGTCCCTTCGCCTGTCTGTTAATGTGCTTGGACACAGAGCTCTGCGAACAGCCAGCTTCTTTAGCAATCACCTTTTGTGTCTTGCCCTCCTTGTGCAAGGTGTCAATGATTGTCTTTTGGACAGCTGTTAAGTCAGAAGTCTTCCCCATGATTGTGGTGCCTTCAAAACAAGACTGAGGGACCTTTTAAAGGCCTTTGCAGGTGTTTTGAGTAAATCAGCTGATTAGAGTGGCAGCAGGTGTCTTCTATATTCAGCCTTTTCAGAATATTCTAATTTTTTGAGATACCAAATTTGGAGTTTTCATTAGTTGTCACTTATGAATATCAAATTTAAATGTAATGAACATTGGAAATACATTGGTCTGTGTGCATTGCATGAATATAATGTACAAGTTTCACGTTTTGAATGGAATTACTGAAATATTTTCAACCTTTTGATGATATTCTAATTTACTGGCCAGCACCTGTACAGTGTTTACCTGTTTGATTTTATCTTATTTATCTGACTCATCCCACCTCTTAACCTGTTAATGTTTTCACTAAAATAATTATATTATATGGTTACAGAGTTCAGTGGTTTAGTGATAAACTGTACTTCCGGTTCAAGGAAGGATGGCAGATTCACCTTTCCTTCCCATCATGACGTCTGAAATACTCCACGTTTTTGCTATCTTGTTTCTTATCCATCATCAGATTTTTATTAAACAACTTATTTTTATTTTTGTTCAGTTTAATTCAAATTCAAAGATACTTTATTAATCCCAGAGGGAAATTAGAGTATCAGTACACACAATTCAGAGATCAGACACACATAGGAAAAGACTAGTTACATAATGTCCTAATTTGCAGTTGACTTGCCAGTCTGATCTGTAGTTGCAGCTTTTGCTGCTTCATCTCTTCGTAGCGTGCGATGCTGAAGCTCACCATCAGTCCAACTTGCTCTTTTCTTTTTTAAAGGTGATTTTTATCTATTGTTGCTATAAGACATAATAAAAGCATCAACTGCCTCATCAGGACCGTCTTTTAGAAGCACATTGTCCCAACGAGTATTCCACACATCCTCAACATAATTATTTTCATTAAAGCATTTATGTGACGTTGAAACTAATATTTTGTGTCCACCTTTGGGAACTGTTGTTTTCCTCACCATAGCAACTAGGTGATGATCACCTACAGGCACTGAAACGGCTTTAGAACAACGATCTTTGATTATCCAGAGTTATCTCTGTAGTTATGCTGCTATAGGCTTAGACTGCTGGAGGACACACTGACCTCTTTTCACACTCTACTGCTTTCTTCTACAATCTGCTCTTTAACTGTATTATTTTCTGCAATTTCAGCTGTTAACTTTATTTTCTCTCTAAGTGTTTTTCTCCCCAGAAGAAGCTACAATGATGCTCTGCTGAGCTGTGGTGGCCTCATGGAGGGGGCCATTGTCTAGCACACTGCTGCTAACCACTTAAACATTCTCCCTCTCCTGATAATAACTTTTTGCTTTCCTTGACGTTGGATGTGCTACTGCTAGTTTATCCGTTTAATTATAGATCCACTAGGATAAATACAATAAAGTTTATCTCTCACCAAATAGACTTTTTACTAAGAAATCACAATATAACTATAGACACATTACTTTGTCGTGCGTGTGTGTGTGTGTGTGTGTGTGTGTGTTTGTGCGCGCCTGCGCTGTCTTCTCGATCCCCAGTGAGTCGTGGTGGATGGCTGCTTATACTGAGCCAGGATCCTCTGGAGGTTTCTTCCTATTAAAAGGGAGTTTTCCTCTCCACTGTCGCTTTATGCTTGCTTAGTATGAGGATTGCTGTAAAGTCACTGACACTAGTCAGTGACTTGATGCAATTTGCTGGGTTCCTTATATAGGAAACATTATTTCTGATTGGCTTAATGAACTGACCTGAATTGGAATGTTTATTATGTGAAGTGTCTTGAGACGACTCTTGTCGTGATTTGGCGCTATATAAATAAAATTTAATTGAATTGAATGTGGACGCACTAATCGTGTTTTATACAAATGAAGAGAGACGGCTGTTCAAGTACTTTCTTCTGGAGGTTTTGTTGCAACCTCCAAACAGAACATCATCCAACCCATCACTCTCCGGTTTTTCAGATCTCTTCTTCTCCTCTCTCCTCTGTCCTGACCACATTTACCACCTCTGCACCGTGGTTCTCTTCTACGTCAGCAGCCAGGGCCTCCATCACGCCGTCACTCAGGTTTTTAGAGGACGTGATGTGACCAAATATGGTTAATGAGGATGTTTCTGTATGTAAACGACTGAACGAGCACCTGGGTACGCACAGGTGGGATTAACCAGCAGTTGATTGTGGAGGAACATTCGTTCCCCGCATGTTTCATAAATCTGTGTTTGGGCCGTTCGTACCGACGTTCTAGAGGTTATCGAGAGGAAGGAACATAGGAGAGGAAAACAGCCTGGGCCTCTGGATGTCTCATCAGATCAGAACATCTGTAGAAACCCCACCAGAACATGGTTCTGGTCTGGATCAAGTTGTAGATGTGTTGGGGGGGGGGGGGGGGGGGGGGGTGGAAACACTAGAGCAATCTAGAAAATTAATTTATGGAAAATAAAGATGAAGTTAAAAGAGTGGGCGAGTGAGAGGGTGAGTGGGCCAATAAAACATAGGCTGCAGCAGCCATTCAGACTAATTGGAAGAGTTTTTCTCCTCCTGCCTCAGACAGAGCAGTGTGTGTGTGTGAGAGAGGGAGAGGGAGAGAGAGAGAGGGAGCCCTGACGCAGCAAACGCTCCCTCTAGGCTCATCCACTTTGCAAATGCAATTAAATCATTTTCAGGAGTGACTGCAGCTCCCAATGGGCTCCATTAGGCTTAATACACACACACACACACACACAAACACCCCCCCCCCCCTACACACACACACACACACACACACACACACACACACACACAGAGCCAAGTCTAGACTAAAGTAACCTGAAACACACATTTGTGTCATTCTCAGACTTTTGGTCCCGACGGCAACTCATGTGTCCCCTGATGCAGGTCTGTGTCACATAGACATGACAGTTGGGTTTGGTGGTAGAGTTTCAGCCTGTTTACCTGTAAGTAGAGTTTACCTGTATGTAGGGTTTACCTGTATGTAGAGTTTACCTGTATGTAGGGTTTACCTGTATGTAGGGTTTACCTGTATGTAGAGTTTACCTGTATGTAGGGTTTACCTGTATGTAGGGTTTACCTGTATGTAGAGTTTACCTGTATGTAGGGTTTACCTGTATGTAGAGTTTACCTGTATGTAGGGTTTACCTGTATGTAGAGTTTACCTGTATGTAGGGTTTACCTGTATGTAGTGTCTACCTGTATGTAGTTACCTGTGTGTAGTGTTTACCTGTATGTAGAGTTTACCTGTGTGTAGTTTACCTGTATGTGTATGTAGTGTTTACCTGTATGTAGAGTTTACCTGTGTGTAGTGTTTACCTGCATGTAGAGTTTACCTGTGTGTAATGTTTACCTGTATGTAGTTTACCTGTATGTAGAGTTTACCTGTGTGTAGTGTTTACCTGTATGTAGTTTACCTGTATGTAGAGTTTACCTGTGTGTAATGTTTACCTGTATGTAGAGTTTACCTGTATGTAGTTTACCTGTATGTGTATGTAGTGTTTACCTGTATGTAGTTTACCTGTATGTAGTGTTTACCTGTATGTAGAGTTTACCTGTATGTAGTGTTTACCTGTATGTAGTTTACCTATGTGTAGAGTTTACCTGTATGTAGAGTTTACCTGTATGTAGAGTTTACCTGTGTGTAGTGTTTACCTGCATGTAGTTTACCTGTGTGTAGAGTTTACCTGTGTGTAGTGTTTACCTGCATGTAGTTTACCTGTGTGTAGAGTTTACCTGTATGTAGAGTTTACCTGTATGTAGTGTTTACCTGTATGTAGAGTTTACCTGTATGTAGAGTTTACCTGTATGTAGTGTTTACCTGTATGTAGTGTTTACCTGTATGTAGAGTTTACTTGTGTGTAGTGTTTACCTGCATGTAGTTTACCTGTATGTAGAGTTTACCTGTATGTAGAGTTTACCTGTATGTAGAGTTTACTTGTGTGTAGTGTTTACCTGCATGTAGTTTACGTGTATGTAGGGTTTACCTGTGTGTAGGGTTTACCTGTATGTAGGGTTTACCTGTGTGTAGTGTTTACCTGTTTGTAGTGTCTACTTGTATGTAGATACCTGTATGTAGAGTTTACCTGTATGTAGGGTTACCTGTATGTAGTGTCTATCTGTATGTAGAGTTTACCTGTATGTAGAGTTTATCTGTGTGCAGTGTTTACCTGTATGTAGAGTTACCTGTATGTAGTGTCTACCTGCATGTAGAGTTACCTGTATGTAGAGTTACCTGTATGTAGTGTCTACCTGCATGTAGAGTTACCTGTATGTAGAGTTACCTGTATGTAGTGTCTACCTGCATGTAGAGTTACCTGTATGTAGAGTTACCTGTATGTAGTGTCTACCTGCATGTAGAGTTACCTGTATGTAGAGTTACCTGTATGTAGTGTCTACCTGCATGTAGAGTTACCTGTATGTAGAGTTACCTGTATGTAGTTTACCTGTATGTAGTGTTTACATGTATGTAGAGTTTATCTGTGTGTAGTGTTTACCTGTATGTAGTTTACCTGTATGTAGAGTTTACCTGTATGTAGAGTTACCTGTATATAGGGTCTACCTGTATGTAGGGTTTACCTGTAACTAAAGTATTTGAGACTGTGGGATGGTACAAGTTCTCCCCCTTAGAGATCATGGAGGCATCTGAAATCCACATGGTAGGTGGGTTCCCCCTGTGAGAGGCTGGGAAGCTAGAGTCCAGTTAGCCCCCCCAGCAGTTCTTTCCTGTTTGGACGTCTTTGGGAGGAAAAACTGCAACCTTAGTAACATCGGAGTGACTTCATTCTGGTCAGACTTTCAGATTTGTGCTCGTTGTTGTCCCACCAGAATAAGAAAACTCTTAACATCAAGTCCTCCTGGTCTCTGACCCAGTTACTGGTCCTGGTCTTCAGGGACCAGATCTGAAGGTCTGGAGAGAACATGGTCTTCTGTTTGAAGATGGTGTGGATCAGAACCAGCATGAGGGCTGGGGAAGTGGCCCTCAGCCTGAGTCATGGAGAAGAGCTGGAGGTCCATTTGAATGTGTGCAGAACTACTGGGTTTGATCATGAGAACATCAGGAGTAGAACCAGTTGAAGCCCATGGCCCAACAGAACAAAGAGAACAATCAGCTGACAGCTAAAACAACATCAAACCTTCTGTCAGCTGATTGTTTATCCAGTTTTGTCTTTCACTGAGTGGAAAGATGCCTTTGTGCAATTATTGTGAAAGTCTCTGGGTCAGAGGAACCGAGAAGGATCAGAACAAAGATAAGATGAACCGGGAACATGTACATGAAATTTTAAATATCACACACACACACACACGCACACGTGCACACACACTCACAATCACACGTGCACACACACACGCACGCACGTGAGGCTAGACGTGCAGTGACCGTTCACACAGGAAATGAACGTTATCTAGAACAAACAGGTTCTAATTACTCTGAGTCTGAAACTACACCACAGGAACCCTGTCTTCTCCAAACCTGAGCCAGGTCCAGATTAGGGCTCTCTGTGTGTGTGTGTGTGTGTGTGTGTGTGTGTGTGTGTGTGTGTGTGTGTGTGCGTGTACGTGTGTACGTGTGTGTGTGTGTGCACGTGTGTGTGTGTGTGCACGTGTGTGTGTGTGTGTGTGCACGTGTGTGTGTTTGTGCGTACGTGTGTGTGCACGTGTGTGTGTGTGTGTGCACGTGTGTGTGTGTGTGTGTGTGCACGTGTGTGTGTTTGTGCGTACGTGTGTGTGCATGTGTGTGTGTGTACTCTGAGCAGGTGCATCAGTGTTTGCAGAGCCGTGCTGTAATGAGCTCTGAGGTTAAACAATGGAGCAGCTCCGGTGATATTGAGCAGCTGATTACTGGTTAGGACCTTAAGGAGGTGAAGGGAGATCTTAACGATGTTTCTAAAGCACATGTAAACGTTACAGTTCAGTTTATGATGGAGCATTATTATTAAAATCAGCTGACTCATTCATCCACCTCTTCTGAGGCCTAGTCCACACGTAGCCGGGGTTTTTTTTTAAACGAATATCCGCCCCTCTAAAAACTTGCATCCACACCACCTTGTTTAAAAAAAAAAACTCTGTCCACACGTACCCGGATAAATACGTTGTTAAGGACAAACCAGACCTGTAGGCGGCAGTACTTGGAGAAGCCAGGTGCCGGACAATAGCCGTTCTTAACCTCCTCCTTCGTCTGTGGTCTTCCGCAAGGAGCAGTAATTCCGCTTGCAAAAACGTGTTTTGTTATTGGACTTCTGTGCAAGCCGCAGTTTGGCCATAACGAACACCATGTTCGAACATAAGGATGCCCACCGGTACACTTGGTACCAGGGCAGCCTAGGTCACAGGTCGATGATAGATTTTGTAGTCGTATCATCTGACCTGCGGCCGTATGTTTTGGACACCCGAGTGAAGAGAGGGGCGGAGCTGTCAACTGATCACCACCTGGTGGTGAGTTGGATCAGATGGCAAGGGAACATGCCGCGTAGACCTGGCAGACCCAAACGCATAGTGAGGGTCTGCTGGGAACGCCTGGCAGAAGAACCTGTCAAGACGGTCTTCAACTCCCACCTCCGGCAGAGCTTTGACCACGTCCCGAGAGCAGTGGGGGACATTGAGTCCGAGTGGGCCTTGTTCCACTCTGCGATTGTCGAGGCGGCTGTTGCTAGCTGTGGTCGTAAGGTGTCCGGTGCCAGTCGTGGTGGCAACCCCCGTACCCGCTGGTGGACACCAGAGGTTCGGGGAGCCGTCAGGCTGAAGAAGGAGGCCTACAGGGCGTGGCTGGTCTGTGGGTCTCCGGAGGCAGCAGACAGGTACCGGATAGCCAAGCGGGGTGCAGCAGTGGCAGTTGCCGAGGCAAAATCTCGGGCGTGGGAGGAGTTTGGTGAGGCCATGGAGAAAGACTATCGATCGGCTCCAAAGAGGTTCTGGCAAACTGTCCGGCGCCTCAGTAGAGGAAGGCAGCAACTCGCTCACACTGTTTACAGTGGGGATGGGGAGCTGCTGACGTCAACTGAGGCTATAGTCGGACGGTGGAAGGAATACTTTGAGGAGCTCCTCAATCCCACCAATGCGCATTCCGAGGAGGAACCAGAGCTGGGAGGCCTGGGGATGGACTGTCCGATCTCGGGGGCAGAAGTTGCTGAGGTAGTCAAACAACTACACAGCGGCGGAGCCCCGGGGGCGGATGAGGTTCGTCCTGGGTATCTCAAGGCTATGGATGTTGTAGGGCTGTCATGGTTGACACGTCTCTACAACATTGCGTGGTCATCGGGGGCAGTTCCTAGGGAGTGGCAGACCGGGGTGGTGGTCCCCATCTTTAAGAAGGGTGACCTGAGGGTGTGTTCCAACTATAGGGGGATCACACTCCTCAGCCTCCCTGGAAAGGTCTACGCCAAGGTACTGGAGAGGAGGGTCCGATCGATAGTTGAATCTCAGATAGAGGAGGAGCAATGTGGTTTTCGTCCTGGCCGTGGAACTGTGGACCAGCTCTATACCCTTGCAAGGGTGATGGAGGGGGCATGGGAGTTTGCCCAACCAATCCACATGTGCTTTGTGGATTTGGAGAAGGCTTATGACCGTGTCCCCAGGGGCACCCTGTGGGGGACGCTCCAAGAGTATGGGGTGGGTGGCTTTCTGTTAAGGGCCATTCAGTCCCTTTACCAGAGGAGCGTGAGTTTGGTCCGCATAGCCGGTAGTAAGTCGGACCTGTTCCCAGTGAGGGTTGGACTCCGCCAAGGCTGCCCTTTGTCACCGGTTCTGTTCATCACTTTTATGGACAGAATTTCTAGACGCAGCCGTGGTGTGGAGTGTGTCGAGTTTGGTGGCAGGAGAATCTCGTCTCTGCTTTTTGCGGATGATGTGGTCCTCCTAGCTTCATCCAGCTCTGACCTTCAGCTCTTGCTGGGTAGGTTCGCGGCCGAATGTGAAGCGGCTGGGATGAGGATCAGCACCTCCAAATCTGAGACCATGGTTCTCGACCGGAAAAGGGTGGCTTGCCACCTCCGGGTCGGGGGAGAGGTCCTACCTCAAGTGGAGGAGTTTAAGTATCTCGGGGTCTTGTTCACGAGTGAGGGTAGGAGGGATCGGGAGATTGACAGGCGGATTGGTTCGGCGTCTGCAGTGATGCGGACGCTGAGCCGATCTGTCGTGGGGAAGAGGGAGCTGAGCCAGAAAGCCAGGCTCTCGATTTACCGGTCGATCTACGTCCCAATCCTCACCTATGGTCATGAGCTTTGGGTAATGACCGAAAGAACGAGATCGCGGATACAAGCGGCCGAAATGAGTTTCCTCCGTAGGGTGGCCGGGCTCAGCCTTAGAGATAGGGTGAGGAGCTCGGACATTCGGGAGGGACTCGGAGTAGAACCGCTGCTCCTCCGGATCGAAAGGAGCCAGTTGAGGTGGTTTGGGCATCTGGTCAGGATGCCTCCTGGACGCCTCCCCGGGGAGGTGTTTCGGGCATGTCCTGCCGGCAGAAGGCCCCCGGGTCGACCCAGGACACGTTGGAGAAGTTACATCTCCAATCTGGTCCGGGAACGCCTTGGGGTCCTGCCGGAGGAGCTGGTGGACAAGGCCGGGGAGAGGACGGCCTGGAGCTCCCTAGTTGGGATGCTGCCCCCGCGACCCGGACCCGGATAAGCGGAGGAAGACGACGACGACGACGACGAAAAACAAACAGGCAAAAAGCGCTTGGACAATTGATAAAGCGAGCGCAACTCTGAGGGCATCCATGCTGTCGGCTAGTGTAAACATAGGTCGCACACGTGATGTCAGCATTTTTTGTCGCAGAAAGTGACGTTGCGGACCTTAAAACTCCGGTTTTGTCCGTCCACACGCAGACACCCAAAACGGAGAAAACGCAGATCTTCACTTTGGCCGGAGTTTTTAAAAAGATCCGTTTTCGTGTGAAAAAACTCCGTTTTCGTGTGGATGACAGGCCAAAACGTAGAAAAATATCTACGTTTTGGCAGATCCCCGGCTACGTGTGGACAGGGCCTGAGACGAAACTGTTGTTGATTCCTTTATTTTCACTAATCAGCTGATCTGTCATACTCTTGATGGGTCCCACAGGACCAGCTCACTGATGTTTACCCATGTTCACACAGGTGAACATGTCCACGTTTGGTTTTTAATAAAGTTATGAAGTGTGTGCACGTTTGTGTGTATGCATACGTGTGTGTGCATGTTTGTGTGTATGCATACATGTGTGTGTGTGTGTGTGTGTGTGTGTGTGTGTGTGTGTGTGTGTGTGTGTGTGTGTGTGTGT